AGGGGGATGAATTAAGACGAGGATTAAGAGTAAAAAACTGTACAACGAATCGTCTTCTTTTTCTAATGATTTAATGAAACGTAAAAGCTTCCGCGCTTTGCGCGGGAGGGGAAAAACTATTTTCAGACAAGTAGGCACGTACGGAAAGGGGGAGGGGGTTAGGGGGTTGACCCTCCCCCTTCGGTTTTTTATGTGTGTATTTTGGAGCACCCCCCCCCCCTTTTCTGTGATTTTTTTTTATTTTTTTAATTTAAAAAAAATATAAAAAAATATGCCAACGGCTGACCTAAAAAAGGTGACCTGGCCCCCCCCCAACGGAACAAAATGTCAAATTTTCAAATTTCGAGACCAAAACAAAAAAAGTGTCCCCCCCCCCCCCGCTTATTTAGCGGCTGGCTGAGTCGTTACGATTTTTTTTTCGGACCAAAAAAGTGGGCCCCCCCCCCTAAGAAATCCTGGATCCGCGCCTGACTGGTATTGTTGCATGTTGGGGGTGGGAGCATTCACTTGTTAGCGACGTTAATTTCATTTTTTTTGCAAACGAGTGTAGCGAGCAAGAAAAAAATCAATTCTTTTTTAATAATTGCCACTTAAACTTGGTTCAATTGTCCCATGCAGGGCGAGGGAACAATATTGTGTTTAGGGTGATTTTATACCCATTTTAGCTAGCGAGCGAAAATACATCTTTCTCTCAATGAATTGCTATATAAAATTTGTTTCATTGTTGCGGGTAGGGGGCGGGCACAATCGTGTTTAAGGCAATGTCAATCCCATTTTGGCGGGCAGGCAACCCCCTACATTTCTCTTTTTAATGATATTGTAGCAGGGCACATAATTCCGCAAGCGTAGCGAGCGAAAAAAAAAAATCACTTCTCTTTTATAGGGAAAATATGGTACATCAAACTTGGGTTCATTGTTCCATGTCAGGGACGTGATTATTAAAAGCGGTGTTATTTCTATTTTGGCGAGCGAGCGTAGTGAGCGAGCAAAAAAAAATCACTTCTCTTTTATAGGGAAAATATGGTACATAAAACTTGGGTTCATTGTTCCATGTCAGGGACGTGATTATTAAAAGCGGTGTTATTTCTATTTTGGCGAGCGAGCAAAAAAAATCACTTCTCTTTTATAGGGAAAATATGGTATATAAACTTGGGTTCATTGTTCCATGTCAGGGACGTGATTATTAAAAGCGGTGTTATTTCTATTTTGGCGAGCGAGCGTAGCGAGCGAGCAAAATTTTTGTAATGATAATTGGTTCATAAATTTCAGATTTTTTTGTTGCAGGGCAGGGCTTACACAATCATGTCTAAGGTGATGTTAATTCCGTTTTGGCGAGCACGAGCACACCAAAACTTCTTTGAATAACGTTTGGTACATAATTATTAACTGGTTGTTGCAGGTTGGGGCGGGCACGTTAGCGGTGTCAATTCCATTTTGGCGAGCGAGCATAGCGAGCAAGCAAAAAAATAAATTCTCTTTTAATAGAAATTAATAAATAAATTTGTTTTTATTGGTGCAGGTCAGGATGGACGCAATCGCGTTTAACGCGATTCAATTCCTTTTTGGCGAGAGGGCGAAAAAACTCTTCCATTTTTAATGATATTGTTGCAGGTCAAAGGTGGGCACAATTGTTTCCAAAGCAATGTCTATTCATTTTATTCGCGAGCGAGAAAAATGAATTAGTCTCTTGTAGTAACATTTGGTACATATATTGTGTGTTATTGTTGCCATGGTTGCAGGTCGGGGCCCGTCGGGGCAGGCACAATTGTATTATAGGCAATATTAATCCTTTTCTTTTTTCAGGGGGACGAGCAAGTGAAAACATTTAATACAAAATAGGCTAGCAAGCAGTTCTTCTTCTTCTTCTTCTTCAAGATAATCTGCCTCCTTCAATACTGAAGATTCTTGCAGATGCCGTATACTCGGCCTGATTGGGGTGTGCAGGTGGACCATTACACCGAGGTTTCCCCCTACTCTTATACGAAAAGTGCAATGGGTTCTTAACGCCAGCGAAGAGTTTCGAATTTGTTATATCACTTATATTTTCCTATTTTCATTTGTTTTAATTTTTCAGGGCCGTATGCGGAATATTTTTCTGGTGGGGGAGGGGGAAAGATGCGTTAAAAGTTTTCGAAGAATCTCAAAAGCAAAATGAGTGAAGGGAGTTCGAGCGACCGAAGTGGTCATGAGGGTACTTTTGCATTTTCAAAAGTAGAATTGAAGGATTTGGTATAGGCCTACACTACATTTTCAGGAAAAAACTGTACGTTTTCAAAATATCTGGGGTCAACTGCCCCCTCCCCCTAGTGCGTACGGCCATGGTCTTTTAAAAAAAAAAAATTCCCCATTTTTATTCCTTTCCTTTCCTTTTCCCTTTTTCTTCCTTTTCTCTTCTTCTTCCTTTTTTCTTTCCTTTTTTTTCCATTTTTTCTCTTTCTTTCCTTTTTTCTTCCCTTTTCCTTTTCCTTTTTCTTTCCTTTCCTTTCTTTTCTTTTCGTTCCCCTTTTTCTTTTTTTCCCCTGGAGCCCGTCAGGGGGGGCACTCTGCCCCCCCCTGCCCCCCCCATAGGTACGCCAGTGCCCCTCCCCCTCCCCCTCGTTACAATCCTTTTAAAGAGAAGGTTGAGTTCTAGGAATAGGTTAAAAAATAAATTGTAAGTGTTATCATTGTTATTATGCAACCAAGGGTGGAAGAACATCAGATTAAACATGTTCCCTGAAAAGCATGGCTCTTCAAATGCCTTCATATTCTAAATATGACATGAAACATCGTAAAAATCGGGGGGTAGGTTTTTTTCGCCATGTGCTCGTGTAGTCCCATATACATCATTCTGTATACAGTGCTTGTAACTTTGCCAAGATTTGGCCAAATTTCTTATCATTTTGATGATTCCAGAACCTTGCAATACACACGAATACTTATATTCTAGATGATCAACCTTTTCTGATAAATTCCACACTGTTTCTTTCACAATGCAATCACATGACCAGAACTCAACTTTATCTTTAAGGGGGTATCTCACTGAGCGGCGAATGCTTACGAACGGTGCGAATTTTGGATTCACCAACTTTTCTGACGAATGTTGGCGACAATCAGGGTTCGCCTCTGCGACATTTAGCGACAGTTTTGGCGAAAATTACCAACTGCACCTGTATTTACCAATCTGTTGCCATTATTTGTGAATGTTTGGGACCTTTTGCTTACTCCTGGAGTCCTGTACTCAATGGCCCGAATTCACAAAGGAGGTTTGTCGACAAACCGAGGTTTATGTGCGTCATACGACGCGTTTCGATGCGTTTTTACAAACCTTGGTTTATAAAAAACAAAAGGAGGTTTGTCGACAAACCTCCTTTGTGAATTCGGACCAATGGGTCGATTTGATATAGGAACCATAATGGTCACGTGGTCGCTATAAGCATTTGCGAATCAAAAAGAACTTGAGCGACACCGTCTTACAACCGTTTGCAAAGGCATACGACTGTTTTGCAAGCGCATGCAAGTTGCAACTGTTTGCTGAAAAAATAAATTCGAAGAGTTTAACATGTTCAACATTTCTTTGCGACGAGAAAAACTGTTTGCGACAATGAAAAATGTTTTCGAACTTTCTAGCAACCTTTTACGAACCCCGGCCAAAAACGCGAAATTCGCATACGAGTGCAACCTCGCCGGTGATGAATTAAAAACGACTCGAGATGAATTGATAGTCCGTACTTCAATGACCTTTCTCTTATGCCCTTGAGGAGTGTTCGCTAGGATGACATTCTACGATGTATCTCGGCTAGTATTATAATGCTGGTCAAGTCATTATAGGACCTCATGTGTGATTTGATTAGTTCTCCATACCATGCATGCATATCGTGCGAGTAGCCCTCGAGTGATAAAGTGATATCGGGAGGTGTATATGATATTTCATTTCGCGATAATTACCTTAGCTTTGATTTTCAAACATCTTGTTCATTATGAGTCCAGTGCAGGCGCGTACGTAGGGGAGAGGGGGGGGGGGGGGGGGGGGGGTTTATGTGTGTGTTTTGGAGGAAACCCCCTCAATTTGTTTAAAGAAAAAATGAAGAAAACATAAAGGGTGACAAAAAAAATGATCTTACCCCCCCCCCCCCCCCCCCCCCCCCTACTGAACGAAATATCGGTCGGTATAATTTTCCGGGACCAATCGAAAACCAAAAAAAATAAAATTGTGCTCCCCCCCCCCCCCCCCCGTTTATTCACCGGCTGGCCGAGTCGTTTTCCGCGCGATTTTCAAATTTTAACCCCCCCCCCCCCTCGAATAGAATCCTGCGTACGCTACTGGTCCAGTGTAATACTCTTGTACATTTGCATCGTGTTATCTTTTATGATAATGTAAGGGCAGTCTCTTTTGGGGGTGATTGACTAGACGAATTGATTTATAAACCGTGAATCAAAGGTTTCGAAAAGAAGCAACGCGTAGAAAACCGGTTGCCACCTTTACGTCATTACTTTTTATCACGAACAGCAGTTTCATCCGAAAGTTGAAGGGGGAAAAATTGGGGGTGGGGGAACAGTTATGCCTGGTCATGTGCACACGAGACGTTAACTCGTTTTTGTTAACTTGGGCTATTGTCTGTGAAAGTAATTAGTGCATGCGCCAGTAATTCAACGCAATGTTTGCACCTTCATTTTGGTGCGTCAAGGACCGCGTAGTGTTATACGTACGTCAGCAAAATGACGCCTCGTGTGCAAACCCAACGGGCAGAATATATATATACATATATATTTATTCATGTTTTATTGTTCTTAATAACTGCAGATGTGACTGAGGATACCTGCATAATTGTTGGGGTAATTTTACAAATAAATGATCATTACAAAGTGATAACCTGCATCAGCTAACATAAATTTTACAACTAGATTCCAGACCAGACAAACATAAAATGATGATAAGCTGGTTATGGCGAAGAAAAACTTTTTATATTTGTTATAATCCACCATTGTTTGATTCGCCTTTACATTTTTCCTACATTCAGACGTACGGTGAGTGCGAATGCTTGCGTAATTTCATCTCTGCTAACCTGACTGCCTCGATCCAAGTCCAACATGGCCAGTGTGAATCGGACTGTTTCCTCCTTCCTATCTTCGTTGTTGGTGCTGCTTTCTTACTCTTCTTCCATTTTCTACCGGTAGTGGCGCTCGTCAATACTCTTCTCAGGTGACATGTTCAATGATTATTGATCAATTTATTATACGATGCCTTTAAAAAAAGGAGGCATTTTCCCTCATTCTCACACGCCATTGCTATTTTTATGACAGGAAAAAAAGAGAGTATATTTTATCAATAGTTGAGCTGTTTTTCGGTTATGTTCCTTTCACATTCATCCTCGTTTTTTTTTTAATTTACTGCAAACAAAGGACAATGTAAATACTGAATGGAAACATTTTTTGTGATATATTCATTGAGCTAATTTCAGAGATATAAAGATTATGAGCATTTTCGACTTCTCTCCCGAGACAAGATCGATGTACATATACTTTGAAAAAAAGGGGTATTGCAGAAAAACTCCAAACCCCTTACGTTTTTATGATACAAGGAAATCACAAATAATTGATAACAATATTGACTGTTTTTTATGTGATCATTTTTCTTATAGATGTGTTCCAGATTCCCAGAGGCCCATGGCTCTTGGAGTCAACTCTATTTTGAACAAATTATTAGGTAAGTTGGCCGTTCACTCTGTTTCTGTGTCTCTACTTCTTTCTCTGTAGTCATCACTCAGTCATGTGTTGTCAATGTTTTGCACACTTAAATAAATGCCACTTTGCATTGTCAATGGGAAGGAATGAAACTACTTCTTTTTTTTTAACAACAAATTTTCATGTAAGATTAAGAAAGAATGTTATTAAAAAGGTTTTTTTTTCTTACAGAGCTCTTAAGGGATTTGCAAAATTGTTATGTTCTGCTTTATAATCATAGGCCTATATTTAGTTTACAATTTGCATTCCCACATCTATAAGACTTGCAGGAAGCCTTTTTTTTTATTTACATGCAAGCGAAGGGAATTTCATGATTAATTCCAATGAAAACGCTCGCAAAGAGCCTAAACTGTATTTCAAACCTTCATGAATTTAGTTGCTCTATAGGGGCCTATGCTATTGAGAAAGGAAAAGAGGTACTTTTCAAAAGGGAAAAAGACACTTATTAGAGAAAATAGGAGCACATTTCAAAGTATCTCAACCTGAAAAGGGGTGCTCACCAGTGATGAAAAAGACACTTATCAGATTTTAGTAGGGGCATTTTTCAGTGGTGAAAAAGAGTGTTTATGAAAAGGGGGAAAAAGGGACATTTATCAGAAGGAAGTAAAGTAATCATTAGAAAGGAAAGGGGGACACGTGTCAAAATAAAAGGGGCAGTTATCAGAGGTAAAAAGGGGCATTTAAGAGAAAGGGAACGGGCACTGCTTACAAAGGAAAAGGATATTTTAGCAATGTAATAAAGTAACAATGCCACTTATACAACTGTAGTAACATATATTGAAAGCAGAAAATCTGTGCTATCGTTATCAATTTTGCATTCTCTATAAGTTGTTACGATTCTTTTTTTAAAACACAATTTCCCAAGGAAGTAAGGCAAACTGCATGCATATATCAAGTGGACCTCACTCCTTATTGCTCAATGCTAATCTACCACATGCACACAGCCCAAAAGCATATACATGTATCTAGCGCACAAGCTAGCGCTAGCTAGCTCTCTGATCCAGTCTAGAATCTTCGCGAGCAGTTTTATAGAGACATAGACATATTGCGATATGCCCTATATGAGTAAGGTATATTATTATTATTATTATTATTGGAATTAATCGTGAAATTCCCTTTGTGCAGTGGTCTTGTAATCTGGTGACCCGGGTTCGAAACCAAGGCGATGCGCTAGTGCCCTTTGGTAAGGCATTAATCCTAATTACAAGGTCCCTCGGAGAGGACCTAAAGCCGTCGTCCGTCTGGTTGCTTACTTACAGGCATTTATGCTTTCTTAGCAGTCAGGTAAAATAACCATCACCATTCATTCATTCATTCATGTAAATAAAAAATATGCATATAGGAATAGCACAAGTCAAAATGATAGCAAAATATAATACCTAAGATGTAGGTAACAAATCTACTTTCATAGAAATCATCTCCCCCATCCACTTGCTTCAATTGTGCAGGTGCTACACCAGGTCCCATTCTGGTTGGTGTGATGATGGATGGAGCTTGTCTTCAATGGCAGCAGACCTGTAGCAGTGAAGGTAACACAGAGGGCGCCTGTTGGATCTACAACGACGAGAACCTTTCATGGCGGATGTTCGGTCTCGGTCTCATCATGAAAGTAGCAGCAGTATCGCTCTTTAGCCTCGCCCTCTACTTCTACCGCCCTGCCATGGATGAGGCCAATGAAGCAGTTGCTGCTGCATCAGGAAGCACAATACAAGCTAGCCCCGCCCGGCCCTCCCCGGACCTGGCCTTGCAGCAAGATGAAGTTGTTCCACTAGACGGAATACGATCGTACAAACATGGTTTAGAGCATGAGGAGGACTCTAGGTAGTAGTAAATTAACACGTTTATATAACAATGTATTCTTGACCTATTTCTGTTGGGCACAAAGAAATGGATTCTAGGAATTAACACATGTTACAACAGAAATATTTTCCTGATTTGGGCTGGAACATTTTGTAGCTGGTGTTCACAGACCAGTAGAGTAATATTTGTCCGTTGTGTTAATTGTGGCTAACCATTAGGCCATCTCCCCAGTTTGCACTTCACGTTTAAAGCCGAAGCAAATAATTGATTCTACTCTTCAGAAACAAACTTCTCATATGGAACCATTTAGAATTTTTGTCCCAAACTGGTGCTTTCTCATATAACGTTTCATGTATTTTATTCAACAAGAAAATCTGTGTTTTGTCTGGATTATATTCATTTCTACTCATGCATTATAGGACTCATGGTAAATATTGAAGTTTGCAGCTGATGTTTTATCACAATTTAAGGTTGCTCAGTCAATTGTCTGTATGCATCAATTACCTTCCTACAACTGGTAATTATGCTTGATGAGCACAGGAAAAGACATAGTCTCATAGACTACTCTTCTGACATTGGACTGCGTCAGCGACTGGTACTAGTACGCGCCATGTAAGAGTAACAAACAGCGAATGTAAAATGAAAACTGAAAACATTTGCTATGAATTTGTGATATAAATTTATGGTACGAGCATTAATGTTGACCCACCTGCTAATTGTATGTTCCTTGTTACTTCATGTCATTAAAGAATGAATATGGATTCAGGTTTACTGACCTACCTGTAAGTAGAGCTCTCTCTCTGCTACCAAAAGAGATCTCAGCTTTGATATGAGAGAAACTCCATGGCATTCGTGAAAATGTTAACTTATATCAGGTTGTTGTTGTTTTGTTTTTTATTATGTTGTTTATGAATATTATTCTAACAATAATGGGCGGCAAGTTTGAAAATGTCATGGATGTCACAGAGTTGAAACTTTGAAAAACAAGTTTGATAATAGATGTAATAATAATGAAAATAATAATGATAATAATAATAATATTTAGTATTTGTAAAGCGCATATCCATTTTTATGCCTCCGCCACCGAAGGTGGTGCCGGAGGCATCATGTTTTCGGGTTGTCCGTCCGTACGTCCGTCCGTCCGTACGTCCGTCCGTCCGTACGTCCGTCCGTCCGTCCGTCCGTCCGTCCGTCCGTCCGTCCCGTTTGACCGTTATCACAATATCTCAAGAACCATTTAAGATTTAAACTTAAGACTCGGGAATAGTATTTATCACCATAGGAAGACGATCTGATTAGATTTTGGAGTACGTAGGTCAAAGGTCACAGGTCACAGAGGTCAACTTATGAAATTCCTTGTATTGAGTTTGTTAGCGCGATATCTCAAGAACCATTTGAGATTTAAACTTCAAACTTAAGGATAGTATGTATCACCATAGGAAGACGATCTGATTAGATTTTGGAGCACGTATGTCAAAGGTCAAGGGTCACAGAGGTCAACTTATGAAATTCCATACATTGAGATTGTTATCATGATATCTCAAGAACCACTGGAGATTTAAACTTCAAACTTTGTGATAGTGTGTATCACTATAGGAAAACAATCTGATTACATTTTGGAGCACGTAGGTCAAAGGTCAAGGGTCATAGAGGTCAACTTATGAAATTCCATACATTGAGATTGTTATCATGATATCTCAAGAACCACTGGAGATGTAAAAACTTCAAACTTAAGGATAGTATGTATCACCATAGGAAGACGATCTGAGTAGATTTTGGAGCACGTAGGTCAAAGGTCAAGGGTCACAGAGGTCAACTTATGAAATTCCATACATTGAGATTGTTATCATAATATCTCAAGAACCACTGGAGATTTAAACTTCAAACTTAATGATAGTGTGTATCACCATAGGAAGACAATCTGATTAGATTTTGGAGCACGTAGGTCAAAGGTCAAGGGTCACAGAGGTCAACTTATGAAATTCCATACATTGAGATTGTTATCATGATATCTCAAGAACCACTGGAGATTTAAACTCCAAACTTGTTTAAATTGCTCTATGGCGGAGGCATCATTTTCGACTGCGCGCAGTCAAAATTCCATCTAGTTTTTAATGCTCAGATAGAAACCAGTCAAATGCTCTTCCACAAATCACAAGTGACGTATTGAGGAGTACATGTATCTGATGGTACGGTGTCAAAGACTGATGATAAATCTAACAGCACAATGGGAGCAATCTTTACAGCGTCCATATCCCAAAGACAGTAATTGGACTTGTTAACTAGAAGAGTTCCGATGCTGTGGCGAGCACGGTCGGCAAATTGTCGGTGTCAAGGGGATCATTGTCTTCAAGAAACCCTGTGGCTGCTCTTGCTTTTTTTAAAATCTTTCGTCTAACCCACCTACAAATTCTTCCGAACACCCAGTTCTACCTCTCTCCTCCATTCAAAATGGCTATCATGAGCCACACCTGTGTACGTCAACATTTGATTATACCCTGATAGAACAACTACACATCTTATCTATAACAAGTGTTGCCTATGAAGCATGACCTGAAGGCTGTTTATGTTTCCTTCAGAATAGACCAGTTTACCAATGTTCACGAATGATATGTTTGGTGACGAAGCGAAAACATGTCGGGAGGCTTTTTTAACATTTTAGCAGCTAATTCCACCGTAGAATTTTATAATATAAAGCAGGGTGAAAATAATAGGAGAGCTGGAAATTAATGCCTTCTTTAACAAAAGTGGTTGAGGCATTTCAAACTTTATGTAGGATCCAACAATAAAATTCTATCTTACAAACAGGTCAAATTAACACTAGTAGACCAGTTCGTACATGGCACAAATATCAACAGATCATTTACACATGGAGAAGTCTCACTTTGTTCATTTTAAAATAATCGCTGCCACTTGTATATCATAGAATGTCGGTGCATAAATGAGTAATGATTACACAATTTTCATGTGCATGTGTCCAGTATTCGTCTTGGTTAGTTTTACAATTTTCTACAAATGACCTCTTATCTGCCAGCCCATGAGCCGATTCATAGATTTATGACCTGGCTATTAAATAAACTGGGCATCAAGTGTTCCTCAAAGAAACGTCCATAAATTGAATGTAATTCGTCTATTCCACATGGTGTGTCATCTTCTTGGAGCTTCAGAAATACACAAAATATGTTTATTATTCTCACTTGTTGATTTAGTTGTTAACCGTTATAAGGGAATATTTGTATGCACCATGTAAGTATTGCCAGTTAGTTTTTTTAAGATAACAAGTGGCGACTTGCTTAAATTTGAAACGGTCAAATTTTGAATTTTGTATGAGATAAGTAAAAAAATAAATGTGATCTATTTTGGGTGTGTTACAATTATATTTTTAATATTTGATCAACTGGCTCAATTTGATGATGGCTATTCCAATAATGACATATGTGTAACTTAGTTTTACAAGATCATCTGTAAAATGATAAATTCATTAGTTTGTGTTCTTTAATCTAGCTCATTTAGGTCTAGATTCATGATTCAGTAGTAAACATTTCAATCTGAAAGCATTGTAGCTTCATGGTTTAATTGTTTTTTCTATAGAATATTTATAAATATATTAATGTTTGTGTATTTTGTTTTCACCGCTGTATTACTGCGATGTTATTTTGTTTATGTTTGTATTGCCTTGTTTTACATTTATGTATATTAAAAGTATTATGTGTTCAAGTTCCATTAAGCAAACAAGACGTTTGTTATGAGAGGAGAAAATGCCATTTCTCCTACCCAGGATAAAAGTATAGAAGTTTGGGGGCTTATTCTTATAATAATAATAATAATAATAATATTGGATTCTTATATAGCGCACGTATCGACCTTGCAAGGTCCTCAAGGCGCTCCAACATTACCCGGCTATGCTAGGCTGCCGATTCGACGCTCACAGCATTTTAAGGAATTTGTATATTTGGTGTAAGTCTGTATTTTGATATTTTAAAAAAAATGGAAGGGAAAATGTATTGACACCAATCCATTTTCTATTTTTAACTATTTTATCATCCCCAATCTACCACGCAGTAACCATGGTAACATTGTGGGTCTGCTTACAAGAATCAAAACAGATTATATATTAGTGTTTTAAACCACCATTTTATATGTAGAAGGTTACATCAAACCGATGGACGACATTTTATTTTTCAATTTTGTTACTCTCGTACTTTGACAACTTAGGAAACGTATTCCTTGGTGTAGACTGTTCGAAGATTTTGATTTTGATTTGTGTAATCTTATTAAAATGATAGCTGTGTTCTTGTGATTTGAAAAGTGCACACTAGCTGCTCAACTTCATTCATGTAGAATTCCAAACATGAGGGATGCCAGTTTTTTAATCTTTTGCTGGATATCAAGCTCTGTGGCTTCTCAGTTCTAGATTTTGTCAGGCTTTATATGGTATACAACATGTATGTATGATTCCCCTTGTAGGCTAAAACAAAAGGGTGAAGGCAAAATTGATCCCTGTAATCATGACGAAATGAAAAGGCAATCCTAAAACATTGTGTGTAGTGAACATAATTGAGAGGGTCAGATCTTGAGTCTGGAAGCATGCCCCTGCTATCAAATATGACATGACGGTCATTTTTATCAAGCCAGGGGAAGAACTTTGTACACGAGTCAATTTTGTTTGAAAAATTGTGATAATATATTCACACCATGGATATAAAACCATGGATTACTTCAAACCTACTTAGTGATTGCCTAAGCTAGAGAGGTAGCCAGGATGCCAGGTCTCTCGTCTATACCCTCCCTGTGCCACGATAGTATTTCATATTGGTATGTAGGGTGACCATACGCATTCCAGGATTCATCTAGCTAATAAGACCACAATACTGTATTATTATTACTGCACAACTGTGCGCCGTTTCCGACGTTTCTTTATCGAATGTGAACCTTCCAGTTAGAAAATAGTTGTAATTTTGTTGTAGAAATATAGCTACTAAGATATGAAAATATTCAAATACGCCACATGACAGCCAGGATATTGATAATTTTAAAAATTCCCTGGGGCTGTAGCCCATAGCCCTACCTGTCCCGTACTGGGTGGTGACCGGGATATTTGTCCTAGATTATTGTCTGTCTGGAGATATTTGTCCTATATTATTGTCTGTCTGGAGATAGTTGTCCTAGGTAGGTGACCACATGGGGTGTAGCTTTCCAGAAACGTACCCTAGATTCTATCGCCATATCTTTATTTTCATAATTTTTTTATACAAGATTGAGGGCAGTATTCCAACCAGTCATGAACAACTCAATGAATCTTGGAGCATGTATGGTCTGCTAGGATACATAACATTCAGGTCAAAAAAGATATTAGATATTATATTTATATTTAAAAAAATAGAGTGAATATTCTGTAAGTCAAACAAGAGTCTATATTTTGAGTGTTTGTTATTATGAGGTCTGTCTGTCTGTATCTCTCAGGTATGTTACAGAGAATGAATGTATTGTTATATCACATTTAGAGTATAAAAAGAATAATAAATTGGTAGATTTCACTGTGTTTGTAATGATTGTGTGTCTTGCATTCCTTATTTTTTTAGTGAAAGTTTGATAAACGTTACATTATAAATTATGGTTTGTATGATCATTTTAAATCTACCGATTTTCATATGCTTTAACTTTCTATTCTATCTTGAAATTTCTTTGTTTTCAAAGATATGCTGGCAGTCTGTTATGAGAAATAATTCATTGCTATTTTCTATATTTTGTCTAACAGCGTATCGTTGTTTTACTTTTTATTCCATATGATTTAAGATTTTTACTTCACGATCTTAGAAAATCCACAATCAATAGCCCCCCCCCTCCCAGTCTCTTTCTTTATACTCCCCCTCTCTTTCTCTCTCTCACACACACACACACACACACACACAACTATAGACTATCGAAGCTGTGACATAACAATTTATTTTTTAGAATTTCTCAATTTTTTCTTCATTTTCCAAAAGAGCATCAAAAATAATGTCCGAATGTCGAAAACTAATTGAATATGTTAAGTATTGGCTGAGATTTGACCATCTGAATAAATATATGTCCTATGGGAACTCAGTGTTATAGTGCTCTGGTTCCTAATGTTATGAACCAGGGGCCCATTCCTAGAAACTTTCATGAGTCTAACTTCTTGACTATCCCATTGAAACGTGTGTTAATCTATAACACACGTTTCAATGGGATAGTCAAGAAGTTAGACTTATGACGGTTTCTAGGAACGGGCCCCAGAGCACTATAATACTGAGTTCCCATAGGACATATATTTATACAGATGGTCATATCTCAGCCAATACTTGATATATTCAACTGGTTTTCGACATTCAGACATTATTTTTGATGCTCTTTCGGAAAATGAAGAAAAAATTGAGAAATTCTAAAAATAGATTTTTGATGACGTCACACTTCACCACTCTATAGTCATGCCCATACGTTTTAAAATATTTTTGTTTTGCCCTCTTCACAATGTGAAAGTATTGAAACAGAATACCGTATTGATAATGTTAGACAGAAAAATATTTAATATAATATTCCATTATTTCAAAAATAAACAAGTTGCACAATGTAGTTACAACAAAGTAACCACAGTATAAAATACTTTACAATAAAGGAATATTTCATATAAGGGTATATATTTTGTCTCTTCAAGACTGCACATTTCATGTAAAGCTTACTATGGAGTTGAGCACACAATTAAATGTCATTGTGAGCATACAATACATATCAAATGGTCCACCCCAAAACAGACAATTTCTTTAATAATAATAATAATAAGACATTTATAATGCGCAACATATCCACCCAGAGGGTACTCAAGGCGCTTACAATAAGTTACATATAAACTGTACTTGGATACAATTATGCTAATATTACATTATACATGATAAAAAAGATGATATTAGTTAAAGTTGGCCATTGGATAAATTTTCAGACTGGCCTTGAAAATTGAAATGATCTACTGATTTACAGTCCTTAAGTGTGTTAGGGAGACTGTTCCACAACTGGGTATTCTATGAAAATTGATACCAAGATAAACTGCATTACTAAGGCAAACTGATTATTATTTAGTAAGTGAAGATAAATTTGACATCCCGTCTTCATAACCCCCCCCCCCAAAAAAAATTTTTTTTTTTTTTTTTTTTTTTCAAATGGGTTAAATGTCTATTTGGCACACATGCAAACGTGGCCTAAACGTGCTGTAACTAAATTAATTTCTTGGAGTAATATGTCACTTAAAGGGATCCGGTAACTTTGTCTTAGATCCTTTAAAAAAATCCTTGATTTAGCTCATGCTGCAATGATAATTATAAACCTTTAGGTCAGCCAGAAGCCCCATGACTTTTACAAGCCGATCGTCTGTCTGATTATCAAGATATTTATGATTGAAAACCGAAATCAAATTTTGTGTTTGCCAAACAATTTTCATAACACTACAGTCTATTGGGGAAAACGAGTATGGTAAAACCTGTCACTAAAAGGTTTTGACTTTTTTGAGGCACTTCTTGATCATTTTGAAGCGCAATTTTTTTTTTAGGGCTTCAATATAACACCATATCACAGGCACTGATAACATGTAGGGACGTGCATCTCAGATTTAACATTGTTAAACGATCCCTTTAAAGGTACTATGGCCAAAAAAATGAAAAGATTAAATTCCAACGGCATTTGAAAGATAATACTAATTTAGAACTTCCCTAAAAAAGGTGGGGCTTGAAAATGTCTTCAAGTGGGAAAATAATGACTATTAGTTGTCGAATCGACTTAAGAGCTATAGAGCTAGTAAGTAATAGTCTGATTTTCAGACCATTGTACCGAATGGTCGTACGTTTCATGCTGCGCAAAGATTCAATCAGTTTAATTTTGGCCTTCACAAGAAGTGGGTTTATTGACGTAGACAAATGCTCATGTACCCTTTACATCTCATTTTATGTATGTTATTACCAAAGAAGAAAAAAAAGCCAGCCAGTCACTCAATAGTGTCTGACAGTGAAGTCTAGCATGTAAACAGGTTTCCTTGCATAATTTGAATATTAGGACACTGCTAACTTTTTTCACAGATAGGACATACATGACATATTCATAATTTCAGCAAAGTTCTAAGGAATTTGAGGTTGGCTGCAAAAGGGACATAGTACCTTTAACGCGAGTTAGATGGTCATCTTGCCATGCTGAACATTGCACTCGGGATGGATTTTGCTCAATGTATCATTTATCATCAATATTTATAAACTCTGAGATAACAATTGATACTTAAAACTTTTAAATAACGATAAGGCAAGGGTAAAACAGTTATCATGGAAATGTACCGGTATTCAAACAAACTCTGGGAGCAAGGATATAACCTTGTAATAATGAAACTTTGTCATATATCAAGGCTAAAAATCTGTTGAATAACAAAACCAAAGAGATAGGACTGGCAAAATACTTTGTTACTACATGTATTTGGATTCTATTCTCACTTGAACACTTACCGTCGCATTTCATTGCTTAGCCAGGAAGGGGGAAAGATCCTACCATAGGTAGGGCTAGCCATTTAGGTCAAATCAAGTGTAAAAACATTGTGGGCTATGCTTTAGTAACACCATAATATTGGTAGGATAGGCCGGTAATTGATATATTTGGTAAATTATTATATCTATCTGGACTGGATAGATATCGTGCAGTCCCATACATCTTTCTGTGTACAGTGCTTGTAACTTTACCAAGACTGAGCCAAATTTCTTATCAATTTGATGATTCCAGAACCTTGCAGTACACACCAATACTTATATGCTAGATGATCAACCTTTTCTGATCGATTCCACAACGTTTCTTTCACAATGCATTTGCATGACCAGAACTGGTCTATACCTTTAAACGTCCTTAAAACATAAAAGAGAATGACATTTCATCCCAAAACTCAAAAAATTACATTCACTTACATCATTCTGGTGAGACAAATTGCTCAAACTATTTGACCTTTACCCCCAATTATTCACATGGTTAAACTGTAATGGAGGTATGTTTATGATTAAAACAGGTTTCTCCAGTTGTTTTCCATCAATAACAAAGACTTAAGCGATAGTCGAAACACGACCTGAAAGCGAATTACATCCAGCAAACTGCACTTACATGTAGGATCATGAACATTTTGAACACATGAAAATTTCTTATCTGGCTTAGGAAATGTCGTTTTTTTAATTATTATTATTATTTTATTTGGCAGGAAACACATGATATAAACATACAGAAATGAAAATAACTAATTAATAGCAAATCACCCAAAAATACATGAACACTGGTTGCACCTGGCTGTGCTGTCAGGCCTTGGGCAAAGTTAACCAAATAACTATAGTCCGCAGACGTCCCTCACCTATATCCCAACCAGATACATGTACCACATTCACATAATTATAATGTGTCAAGACAAAGCCTATAGATTTCCCCAGATGTTGAATCACACGCTGGAGACTCATGACCACACCAGCAGAACAATGTGGCATTATATTTTACTTAACAATTCCCTCTCTTCCTCCATCACCCCCCCCCCCCCCCCCCCCACGTTTCAATGAAATTACCTTCAAAGAAAAAAATCACTAAAATACTTCCAAGAAAAGGAACAAACATACATACATACATATTGGTATTTATTGAGCGCCTTTACATGAACAAAAACCCTGGATGTGTATCTCTGACCCCACCCACAATCCATTCCATTCTTCATGCAGATACATAAGACCATTCAACAGAGCTCTAGTATTTCCCGACCCATTCCATAAACTCAGAACAACAGATTTGTTTCACTGAACCTATTATTGTTCAGTCTATTGCTCTGGATTCCTGAGTGCTATACGTAGTTAGTCAAAGAATGCCAGCCGGCACTGTACATGCTCACACACACACACACACACACACACACTCAGATTAAAAAAGAAATATAAAATGGAAAGTGAGAAGTGATCAGAGAGCCCCCCCCCCCCAAAAAAAAAAAAGATATATATACCTGTAGGACTGTAGGTATTTTTTTTTAGATTCATTTCAATTTTCTTTCATTTTTGAATGGAACATTAATCTACTAGTTTTGCTGGAGAAAACAAGCTGACTACTGAATTCTCTCATTACCACAAGTTTGATGCAGGGACCATCTAGTTCCCCAAGACAACAAGATAAGTTCTATAAGACATTTTAAAACAAAATAACATTGTTTATGAATTCACTTCTTCTTTTCGTGTTGTGCGCTTTATTAATTTGGCTACCATATATATGTGAATTTGCATTCCATTCTTGCTGTATTTTAAACAGGTATTAAACTTTTGGGCAGAGTTGGATAAAAACTCCAAAAAAGTTTTTTTTTTAATCAAGCACATCAACTGCAGTCTTCCACATGAGACTTAAAATACTTCTGAAGTTTTTATGAAACACACCTAACTGATACAATGATAACCATTATAATAATCATACAAATTATCATAAGTACATGTAAAGAACTTGTCATTTTGTCAATTTTAGTGAATTATGTAACTATTTCAGTACTGTAATTTCTTGCTAGTTTTTTCTTTTGCCTTTAGTGCGATAATGAGAAATTATGGAAACAAATATAGACTTTATTATGTTTATCCTTTGAGCTTACATGGAATAAATCCCACATGCACTAAATTTATTTGTAATTTTGTCTGCTGAGGGCCAGAAGGGTTGCCCTCCTCACTCTCAGCAAATGATATATTCAAAGGAATTAGGAACTGACTATAAATGAGGCCTGGCATAAACAGTCTTTAGTGGTCACTCAATATATTAAAGGGGAATACATTTTAATCTTTCAAGAGAACTAAAGCTCATAACTTGGAGTCACTCTCCATGTCCTCATTAGGAGGAATATGATGAGTAACGGGACTAACTTGACCAGTTGGTTGAACAAATGAGTTTAAAAGGTCATAGTCTGTTACCGTTCTAAACACAAATCTGTTTGTTGCCATCTGTGTGTTCATGCTGTCCTCGACCGTCTCCTCGAATCTTAGCCGATAGTCTTTATCTGATTCGTCCTTTGGATGAGCTGGGTAGTAGGCATCACCTGATGATGTACAATTCACAATACATGTAGAAATGAAAATGAAGTCTGTCTGAAGTTTCAATTGCAATACATTACAGTTTTCTCAAATCAGACTTGGTGGAATTCACGATTAATGAGTGCACAAATTTTGAACAAAGACACCTGCCAGGAAGAATTCCTGTTGAGAAAATTCTCGCTGATGGATCTATTGAAGTCATTACACAGTAAATGGACTCACACAAGTAAATCAGACTCCTATTCGTGCATGTGTTAAATTAGAACTTAATAAAATGTAATATTCTATGAACTTAATCGGTGGAAATCGTTTTACTACACAAAATTGAAACAAAATAAAAATATCTCTGAAGTGATGAACCTTACTTGAGCATTTAAACAAAAGTTGTGATGGCTGAAACACAGCTAAAGTCACAGACTAAAAGACTGATATCATGAAATACTAGATCATAATTTTAAATCCTCTAAAACTACACGAAGACAAGCTGACTTCAGTCTAGAGGTGAGTGGTCCAGTGGATAAGTCTCTGGACTATGAACCACAAGGTACAGGGTTTGAATCCCTGTCACAACACTAATGTCCTTTGGCAAGACATTAAAGATAAACTCCAGTACTGGTAAAAAAAAATTAATTAATTCTCACAGAATCAAACGAAACTTACACTGAATGTTCAAGATTACAAATAAATGACATGTGCCAAACAATTTTGGAAGAAAATGTATACTGGCTGAGTAATGAGCATAGAAAGACAAGGAAATCAAGGTAGTACTAGCCCCGACACCATGTGTGTTGTCCCATATATAGCTTTCTATGTGAGTGCTTGTTACTTTACCAAGACTCGGTCAAATTTATTATGATTTTGATGACTCCAGAACCTTGCAGTGCACACCAATACTTACATGCTACATGATCAACTGTTTCTGATCCTTTCCACACCTTTTCTTTCACAATGCAATCGCATTACCAGTACTAAAGTTTATCTTTAATCTATATTTGCCACACTCCACCCAGTTGAGGTAAATGGGTACCTGGCAGGAATTAATACCTTGAAATGCTCTAGTGCCGTAATGGCAGACATGCTAAAGCTGGGTAATGATAATAATGGAGCACCAGTAGTGGCAATGTGCCAGACATGAGCGCTATACAAAAGACCTTTTTTGGTAAATTTATTTAGTCAATTAAAATCCTATCATATTCCCTCTACTTCATTAATACGCATTGCGAGCAGATGAACTAGCTCTGTGCCCTGGCCCTATAATGCACATGACATGAGACTTGTCAGTCAGTCTTTAAGACCTGTCTTTCTCTACTCACATTCAAGATGATTAAGTAAAGGAATTTGAGGAATGGAAGAGGACCTTATGAGGCTGGTCTCTAGGGTCTATTATCAATATTTTTATTGCGCTTCTGCATTGCTGAAGTACACATGGTGAAATGATATCTTTTATGTTTTATTCTCTTCAGGCTCCTCACTCTTCAACTATAGTTGAAAATAGGGTGTAGTTGTATTATCAAACTGAAACAAACTTTGCAAATTATTGTACAGATACTTGACAGTACATTTTTGACATGGTATACCTGGTAATATAGAGAGTACAGCGTCTTCAATGTTACATCTAACTGGAAGATACCTCTCTGTCCCCTTAAATGCTCTGCTCCTGGAGAACTCGTAAAGCTGGTCAAAACATTCAAACCTGTCAAATTAAGATGAAAACAACAAACCAAATAGTTTAGTTGACTATCTACATGTAGCTTCATTTACAATGACTACATACAATTACAGTAGTCATTAGCCTTGTAGTTTTATTCCATTATTCGGTAGTGGTTTGATTTATATGGTGTGTGTGTAGCTTAAAATGTAACAATCACCTGAGAAAATAGTTACACATGCGCAGGTCAAACATGTTTTGCTCTTGATTTAAGATACACAATAGTATAAATAAAGGGAGGGATTTCATTTCTTCTCAAAATGCAATTTACTACAAAATTTGAACCTCTTTTGTAGAATTTATAGCTGTCTAAAATTACAAAATGGAGTATACTGCCCATCAATTGTTTTAATGTAAATAATGTATACCGGGTAGAAAGAAAAGTCAGAAATGAAAATATGAAAATGGCAAACCTGAGAAGTCGTCTAAACTCGTAAACTTGGGGTGGTGGGAGAAAGGTCTTTGCATTTGAAAATAGTTGCAAGCTTTCCAATGGTGTCACCCACTATAATTGGTTAGTGTGAAGAAGAGAAAGGAAACAAAGAAAATATATAAAAGTAATCAAATCAAATATCAGTCATATCCAATTTCTCTTCAAAATATTCATATCAGATACTGGGCAATTGTGCTGACATACGAAGGGTAATATTTTACTTGTAATTTTAACCCCCATTCACCCGCCCCCCCCCCCCCTCCCCTCCCCCCAACAAAACAAAACAAAATAAACAAACAAAATCAACATTTAACATCTCATACTACATCATTATTCTCAGAGGAAAGTTTGAGCAAAAGCTTCTGTATGATTCAGAAATTCTCTTCAAGGCTACTACAAATACTGATGTAGTACAGCGGATAAGCTCCCAATATAATGAAAATTGTGCACTTTTTGAGAAAAGCATGAAACTTCTAGCATAGTTAGTTTAGACCATAAGATTTATTTTCAGATGTGAAGGGAAGTCAGATTTGACCTCTGATGACCCTGAGAGGTCAAATCCAAAATGGCCGCTATTCCTCATGGTCTAATGTACAAACACACTTAACTTTTGAACCAAATAGTCCAGAAAAACATTTAAGGTGTCATTTCCAACTAACTTGGGGATGCCAATTCATTTGGTAATACTTTAGAGATCGCTTGAACTTAGGGTTTTGCATTTAGGTCAAGGTCATGGTCAAAATTGACTAAAAAATAGCAAGTTTTGAATGGTTACAAAAAGTTTTCCCATTTATTTGTCATTTGTTCTCTCCTATGTTCTCAAATTTCTTTAGGAATTTACGCACCTTAATCCCTTTCAGTGAGTTTATGTCACATTTTGATTTGACCTCTGATGACCCTGAGAGGTCAAATAAAAAATGGCCGCCAGTCCGCCGCATGGTCTAATAATTGTACAAACACGCTTAACTCATGAACCAAATAGTCCAGAAAAGCGTTTAAGGTGTCATTTTCAACTAACCTGGGGATGCCAATTCATTTTGGCAATAATTTTGAGATCGCCAGAACTCGGGGCTTGGCATTTAGGTCAAGGTCAAGGTCAAAATTGATTAAAACATAGCAAGTTTTGAATAGTTACAAAATGTTTTCCCATTTTTTTGTCCCCTTATGTTCTCAAATTTCTTTAGGAGTGCTTCCCCTGCATAGTCACCCACCTTAATCCCTTTCAGTTAGTTTATTTCACATTTCGATTTGACCTCTGATGACCCTAAGAGGTCAAATAAGAAATGGCGCCAGTCCGCAGCATGGTCTAATAATTGTACAAACACGCTTAACTCTTGAACCAAATAGTCCAGCAAAACGTTTAAGGTGTCATTTCCCATTAACTTTGGGATGCCAATTCAATTGGTAATACTTTTTAGTACACCAGAACTCAGGGCTTTTGCATTAAGTCAAGGTAAAAGTTTTGAATGTTTACAAAAAGTTTTCCCATTTTTTTGTCCCCTTATGTTCTCAAATTTCTTTAGGAGTGGTTCCCCTGCATAGTCTCCATCGTAATCAGTTCGTTTATTTCACTAATTATAGCACCAAACCATTATTTGTCTTGTAACTGACCATTTGCATATAGCATGGTCAGTGGGCAGCTAGCAGCGCTCAAAATACACGGGGGCGGTGGGCGATTCGCCCCCGTGAGCTACATAATCGCCCCCGTCAGGTTGCTCACGGGGGCGATTGCAAAATTAAAAATCGCCCCGGTGGAATTATAAAATAAAGATTATCTTTTCTGTTATAACTTTAACACAATATTGAGTTTCAATTTTCAAACCTTAAACCAATGAAATGGAACTAAGATTAGCGTGCAAGATTTCTCGTTTTATGAGTAGGCCTATTATTACCAATTCAGCTCGCAGTGCAGTGCCGCCGTCAGCAGTGGTTATAGGCCTACTGCGCCTTTAGTAGCGGTGCGTGTGCACGCTGCCGCGCCATGTCTGCTGGAGCTGGAGGCGATCGCGCAAGGGCAGAAACATGGTCATGGCCTGGAGAAGTTTTTCGTTGTCAGCAAATAATGAACCTCGACCAGTAAATCAATATTAGGGACTTTTAGATTTGCACGATGAGAACGTGGACTGCAACGTGTGACCTCCTTTTAAGGCACGGTCAGTGCTTAAAAGGACGTCACATATGTGACTGCCAGTGCCTTAAAAGGACGTAACACGTCCACGTCCACGTCCACGCAAATCTAAAAGTCCCTTTTGAGGAGAAGAGGAAGACCAAAATGTCGTGGAATGATATGGTAGAGAGAGAGAGAGAGAGAACCACCATCATTTTGCAATGGTTCAGGGTTCGTGCAATGTACATTTGAAACCATTTCTTAGCGTCTCAACCCTAAAAAAATAGCAAAACTATTTTTGAGGAAAAGCATTATACTGAATTAAATAAAGAATAATAGCTTTATATTGGATCATACTAATACTGATACGGGCTAAAGACAATGTGGTATTTGTATAGAGGTATTCCAAAATGACATTCTGATAATCAACATTTGTTCTGGTATCATAATGTATATACTCATAATACAACTGATCTTTATGATTTCTTAACGTGACATAGCTTCTTCTCCCTCTGCAAACAAAACAGAAAACAAGGTTATTTAATAAAAGGACCATGCGACAAATAATCATTGTGATTCAAATTGATGCAAGGATTTTTTTTAATAAGCAATGCTTTTCACCAGAATCTTCTTTGTAAAAACGACTTTTACAAATCTCAGCCATGCAATTCTGCCACTGTGCTGTAAGATCACTTTGAGATTAGGAGAAGTGTATTATGTAATGGGTATTTCAAATTGAATGGAACGTCTCAACTCAGTAAGCATGGCTGAGATTTGTAAAAGTTGTTTTTACAAAGAAGATTCGGGTGAATAGCAGTACTTATTCAAACAAATATTCGCATCAATTTGAATCACAATCATTATTTGTCGCTTAATCCCTTTTAATGACCTTGTTTTCTTTTTCGTTTGCAAGGGGAGAAGAAGATATGTCACGTTAAAGACATCGTAAAGATCAGTGTTGTATGCGTATATATTATATACACAGGCCAGTAACAGCTATGTAGCTTGTAAATTTGTAAGAGGGAAAATGCTGATTGAAATGATAATGAAAAAATAGCAAATAATTGAGAAGTATCATAGGTACCAATTCAATGGATATGGGCCATTCCATGGTAACTCGCGTTACACTTAATGGGTACATTGACACGATAATGTGCCTATATCTTTAGAACTGCTAGGATCTACAAGATACTTTTTTCAAACATGGACAGGGTAGATATAGAACAACTGAATGAAACAAAAAAGAAAATTGAAGAACAAACATTTTTAGATTCTTGGATTATTGAATTTCGGTAACTCGCGTTACAAAAAAAGGACATGGTCAATTCTACGAGACCCTCTTTTCTCCTCATACTAGACAATCTTGACAAAATCTTTCCTACTTTAATTTGATAGTAGGTTGTGACTTACTAGTATAAGATCACAATATTAAAGATAAGAAACAATGGACTAGTAAAATGCAGGAAGCAAATATGTCGGTAACTCACGTTACGGTAACTCGTGTTACATTTTGTCCGGAGGCCATTTTCACCCCTATGTAATGGATTAAATATCACAGGACCCCTTAGAATATGGAAATATATTCATCTTTTTCCATTTAGCGAAATTTTCAGGAAAAAATATTACAAGAATCCTGTGTAATCTGCAATAAATTGGGTTTTTTTCAGCTACAGTCCCACATGTACGTTTTTGATGATAGTTTGAGATCTTAGGAAATCAACAAAAATGAAAAAAAAATTGTATTGAATTTGAAAGGCCCTAATGTTTTATGAACATCCATGGCATAAGGTTAGTGATAAATCAAAGAATTAACATAAGAGGTACATTTCTTTTTTTGATGTCATGTCCTTCTTCTCATGGAATGGCCCATATTTGTATAAAAAAAGAGCCCCCGTCAGTAATAAAAGAGCCCCCGTGAGCCTTCTCACGGGGGCTCTTTGTTCTGGCGATCTCTTAGTATTACGTAATGAATTGGCACCCCCAAGTTAGTTGGAAATGACACCGTAAACGTTTTTCTAGATTATTTGGTTCAAGTTCACGTTTATACATTAGACCATGCGGACTGGCTGCCATTTTGGATTTGACCTCTCAGGGTCATCAGAGGTCACATCAAACTGTGAAATAAACTAACTGAAAAGGATTAAGGTGGAGGACTCGGCAAGTGAACCATTCCTAAATAAATTTGAGAACAAATGACAAATAAATGAGATTTAACCTTTTGTAACTATTCAAAACTTGCTATTTTTAGTCAATTTTGACCTTGACCTTGACCTAAATGCAAAACCCTGAGTTCAGGTGATCTCAAAAGTATTACCAAATGAATTGGCATCCCCAAGTTAGTTGGAAATGACACCTTAAACGTTTTTCTGGTGTATTTGGTTCAAAAGTTAAGCGTGTTTGTACATTAGACCATGCGGACAAGCGGCCATTTTGGATTTGACCTCTCAGGGTCATCAGAGGTCAAATCTGACTTCCCTCCACATCTGAAAATAAATCTTATGGTGAAAGCAAACTATGCTGGAAGTCTCATGCTTTTCTCAAAAAGTGCACAATTTTCTTGCTAAGCCGCTGCACTAATGTGATAAGGTAGCCTTACAGTATGTCTACTTTAAAATTAGAGTCATTTCATCACATACGGTACATAATTCACCATCCTACAGTATACTTTTGCCTACTGTCTGTCCATATGGACAAACATATGGTATGTAACCAAGGCTCAACATTTGTATTAAAAAAAGAGCATTCGTCATTTCTAAAAGCCATTAAGAGCCATTGTGAGAAGGTTCACAGGGGCTCTTTTTTGGGGGGGGGGGGGGGAAGAGCCCCGTGGAAAAAAAAAATCCAGGCTTGTATGTAAACTTAACTTGAAAATCAGTGAATGTCAAGTTAACTCATCACAGAAATGTTCATTTATAAACATAGTTAATACTTGTGTTTTTAGAGACAGAGAGAAGCATTTGGTAATCGTTCTCACTTTAGTCTGCACAATTTCAGTAGTGTCCTCCAGAGCCTCGGGTAGCTGATCTAAACAAGCAATGTAGAATATTGTGTCGTAGCGCCGCTGTGTCATGTCTGACGGGGTCAACCAATTTGACCATTCTGCTAATGACCAGATGTCTGGGACACTACCTACTTCTTGGCAAAGCGAGAGGAAGCTACTGGCGTCATCGTGGACTCGTTCTCGCCAGTGCGAGAGGTCTGCATTGTCTGTTGCTGCACATTTGCCGAGGGTAACCGTGTCCGGGTTTGAAATGGTGTCTCTAGATTTCCTGAGTAACAGGATGCCACACTCCTCAAACGTCTCCCGAATAGCACATATCCTATAGGCAACATCAATAGGTAATGGAGACTGGTGATCCTGCAAAAGCAAGGGAGGCCTAATGCCTTGTATGTTGACCAGCCTACCAAAGTCCTCTGTTCTGTGAATATTACCATACTTCTTGAAGATATCCAACCACTCAGGACTAAAATCAGACTTGTCTATCTGTCCACCAGGAAAGACCTGAGCGCTTGGGAAGAAGCCAGCTTTGGCATTCCTCTGCAGCATGAGATTTTGATAATCAAAGCTGAATTTCTTGCCGCCTATGTAGTTGCTAATTGGAGTTTTGGATCTGGCTGCAATGATAAGAGTCGCTGCCTCCTTCCAGTATTTCATAGCACTTGCCATGGTGTATCTGCATGCTCATCCAGATCTAAAAGAAAAAAATCAAAAGTTCAAAGATCACAATTGAAAAGAACATGTACAGGTACATAACATTTCTCATATCAGAATAGCATCCATGAATACCTACATGTATCTATATGTAGCTCTTGTCCTACCAAACCTGTTTGAAATGCTATAAACTAAAAGCAAAACCAAAGGAAAGGTAATTTAAACTGAATATTTGAACTGGACAAAGAGCACACCCAAAATACATAAATTGATCTCTAACATAAATGTCGCAACACCTCAAATCAGTATAGGAACACAGCCAATCCAAGAGTTCATACACTTCACAAGCATTCCACCGGCACCGTGCCTGTCACACAATGAAGTGTTTAAAAATCCTTGCAGCCATATTTTAGACCGTTACTGTTAATGGATGACGTCATCTTTCTTCATGCGCAGTAACAGTTTAAAATACGGCTGCAAGAATTTCAAAACAGACTTCAATTTTGATGAAGAAAATCTGACAAAAAGACCCTTAAACGCATCATACAGTCAATCTGGTAAGTGGAACCGATGTATACTTTATTAGCCTAGACTAGACTAGACCTACATGTAATTTTTGAGAATAAATGCATGGGATATATGAATCCGGAACAACGAAATTTTAGTCTAAAATTTGGTGGACAGATCTGGCCATTGAAGTTTGCACAGGAGACCCTTTTGGTCGGCTTCCAGACCTGCCAACCTCTGCATCTGGAGTTCAAAAACTGTAATCTTTAATCAAAAAAGTTGTATTTTACTGACAAAAGTTGTATTCTTAAAAAAAAAAAGACTGTTATAAGGATCAATGCCTCTTACAGTTACTACATACAGGAAGAATTTTTTTAATGGAATATTGGTTGAATATAATGATTTCGTCACGACTGGTGTGTTCGATAAACCAATGAACATCACCAAATTGCCGATGTGAGATGCTTGTACGTAACTTTATAGGCCAGAATGGGCATTTTGCAATTGAAAATGGCACACACACTAAGACTAAATCGTACTGGTTGGCAGGTCTGGGCTTCTGTCTCTAAAGATCAAGAGGAACCGACCCTAGTTTATACGAACGAAAGAGACAGAAATTACGGTACACACCATTCAGTTTTGGCATGCTCATGAAATAAGCCACTGTTATGTTATTAGTAATGCACTTTTTGTTCATTCTGTGTAATGCCTATGTAAGTGGGATTCCACCGCCTCGCCTGCCCATATAAATGATTATACACATTACACATTGCTCGTGCTACACCCCCCCCCCCCCCCCCCTAACCCCACGGAGCTCCAACGCCGATGCCTCGGCGTCAGAGCTCCCTGGAGTTACCCCCATAACTTTACACAAAAGTTTATGTTATTGTTAATACTAAATGCACACTCGTACCCAGAGGCTTATTATTTCACGAGAAAGCAAAATCCCAAATTCAGTCTCAATACATCTGCAAATTCTGAATTATGATAATTGAAAGGCTGTTTTATTGGTTACCGTGTGAATATCTGCCCTTGAGTCTGGCCGGAGTCGATCGATAGAGTAGATCTAATATACTTTAGTGTTAGTGATATAACTCTATGATCTACACACATGCACGGTATTTTGTTTCAACCCGCCGAAGATGGCGTTTATAACAAAAATATATTTTGTGGATTCGGTGAAGCCAGACGTAGTCTCAGCGGAGCGTATCCCAGAATGAACCGTGAATGATATCGAATAATTTAAATTTATTAGGCCTTCCTTTATTTAGTTGGGGTCTTTAAACAAAAAATAAGATGAATGTGTAACTGTAGATCTAAAGGTGTGTATAATGATTGAAACCATTAATTGAAATCAAACTGAAGGAATTATCTTTAACAATGTAATAAATTAAAAAGTGATGGAATTGAATTAATTATGAATGATTTCAATCTAAACAATTTTAATTAAAGATCCAACATTTTGAGGTTACGATTCCATATAAACCCCACTAAAATAGGAGGTTAAATACAGAAATGGCCTAGACTCTAGAGTACATCTTAATTATGAACATTTTTAAATAAAGGTTGTTCTTGCAGCAACTCAAGAGCCTGGTTAGAGGCTTACCGAAGCAGCAACAAGTAATTCATGCAGACTGGATCCAATTATTGTAGTTCTTGACTAACAGGTTAATGGAATAACTCATCACTATGTCCCCAGGGAAAGATACGGGGGCGCACTAACAAAAAGGGCACTTTCTGGAGAAAAAAAAGGACACCTACAAAGGGAATTCCCTTTTAAGGTGTCCCTTTTTTTCAGAAAATAAACATCCAAGCGAAAATGTACAATTTTTAGACATTGCTATATACCCCGATTTTGGGATTAATACATTATCAGGGATGATTTCAATATACACTGTTGCTCATAACGGTGGAATATTTTTTTTTATCCCAATTTATGGAATTATTTTAAAAATAATTTAAAAATACTAGATCTAGATAATAGTATACAGTCTCAGATTTTATTGAATAATAATTTGCCAATATGTGTTTTGCGTAACTGCTAAAGCATGTATATTATGCTACTATGTTTATCAACTAGGGGACCTATGCCCTTAAGTCATAAAGGACAGTAATGAGGATTAATGCCTCACAAAAGGGCTCTGATATAGCACATCGACACGGTGTTGATCCTGGGGCCTCACAGTTACAAGGCCATTGCTTTGTCACTGAACCATGACTGTACGCAGCGGGGGCTATGGTAGGGGGCAGTTTCCATAAATTTAAAAAAAAACAGAAAATGCAATAAATTTTCAATAATTTATTGCATTCTACCCCGGTCCCCAACATAAAAAAATCCTCTGGACGGCCATGCATTATGGCTCAAGGCATGGGCACACAGAAGATTTTTTATGTTGGGGACCGGGTAGAATGCAATAAATTATTGAAAATTTATTGCATTTTCTGGGTTTTTTTTAATTTATGGAAACTGCCCCCTACCATAGCCCCCGCAGCGTACAGTCATGGTTCAGTGACAAAGCAATGGCCTCGTAACTGTGAGGCCCCAGGATCAACACCGTGTCGATGTGCTATATTAGTGCCCTTTTGTGAGGCATTAATCCTCATTACTGTCATTTATGACTTAAGGGCATAGATCCCCTAGTTAATAAACATAGTAGCATAATATACATGCTTTAGCAGTCACGCAAAACACATATTGGCAAATTATTATTCAATAAAATCTGAGACTGTATACTATTATCTAGATCTAGTATTTTTAAATTATTTTAAAAATAATTCCATAAATTGGGATACAAAAAAATATTCCACCGTTATGAGCAACAGTGTAAGTTTCTCTCTTTACAAAATGTTTAAGATTTGGAGTTGACTTATTGGAGATTAGACCATATGGAAGTTAGATATTTTAGTATCCATCAAACATATTTGTATGACCATAAATTATCAGTTTTGTTGTCAATACGTTTTTACTACCAGTACTAAAGTTTATCTTTAATTAGACCAAATGAAATAGACAAACATTATTATTAGACCATATGTGGGTAGTAGATGGGCTGGGTGTAGACCATATGGGAATATACTAATTGGATAGTAGTCGCGAACTGGTTTTGGACCAAACAATAATTTACCAACTTAATTTCCTCTTTGCACCCCCCCCCCCCCCCCCCCTCCCCCCCATCTGATAGAGGAGAAATATTTCATGTAGTACACCGTTCTTCAGTTTTATTATGCTATTGGCAGTATATTGTTGTTTGTTTTTCGTTTGAATTTCTCATTTTACCTTTGGTGATCCATACCTGTATAGTAGACTCAAAGTTATGTGGGATTTCCCTTTGACATGCAGGAAGCTGATGGCGAGTTGTTGTATCACCATTTTATGTCAGTGGATTTAAATGAGTTTTATCCTGTTTTATTTTTAAATTATGTTATGTTGAAATCAATCAGGGAAAGAAAAGGTAAAACAATTTTCCTCAGTATTGAATGCCTGATTTGGGAACAGTAGACAACTTTCATTAGGAAAAAATATGTACTTATGATTGAATTATTCCAACATTAATGTTGATTTTTTTTTGCATGTTTTTTGTGTTTTAGCAAGTATTTGTGCCTTAAAAACTGCATGCTAGAGCACCGAAAATGTGTATCACACCAATCCTCACCACAGATATTGCTCCACAAATGTACCTCGACTATAGACAGAGGCAGATCTCAGCTGCAATAATCCATCTGGCCGTCGCTTATTACTTTCATTTGTGCCACTAGAAATGTTCTTTCAATACCTTGATTGCATTAGTTATTGCTCATAATTTACAAAATGTAGATTTTCATTCATTGAAGCATGAGCAGAATTGTTAGACATTAAAGCATGATAAATTTGTAAATTTATTTTGTTATGTGAGTAATGTCTTGTTTTTCATTTAATAAGATAAAAATGGAGGGGGAACAAAAATGAATGAAGGAGACTGTCACTTGCGCATGGTAGTAATTATGAAATGATGATCAAGGGCAGTGAATTGTTCAATAATGGTATGTTTGTTTGATGGGAAGTAATAAAATATACTATAAGTGCATTATTTTTGTTATAAGGCACTGTTGGGGGGGGGGGGGATTAAAGAACAAAACTATTTGAAATGGAAGGAAGTTAAGAGTTGAAATGGGAGTATTGAACAAAGATCTGTCCCCCCCCCCCCCCCTCAAAAAAAAAAATAAAAAATAAAAAAAAATAATAATAATAATAATAATAATAATTGTCAAAACTTTGACATTCATTTTGAACAGGATTCTCGATTTTCTGATACTTAATCGAACTGAAGTTAACCTACATTTATGCCTTTTAAGCCAATCATTGCTGGTTATAGCAGATCCATAATAGGACGAAAAGGGATAAACTTACTCTTAAAATCAATCAGGATCACGTCCTAACTTAAAATCTATTGCATCTGTAAAATCTATTATATATTTTGGATGAAACAAAGCCTTAAACTGAAAACAAATTAAGGCCCTTAAATCCCCCCCCCCCCCAAAAAAAATATATATATATATATATATATATATTTTGACCTCGTCTTGCTTCGTCTCACGGAGATTGTTCTCAGTTTTGGTCGAGGTCAAGTCCAGCTCGAGACCAGGGCACAATAAGTTCAGTGGAAAATCTATTATTGTTGATTTATTTAGTTAAGATACATACATGTAGATCGTGTAACATCTATGATATATTGGGGTAAATTACTTGTATGGGTTAATGACATGTTTGCCCAATGATTATCCCCCTGTCTACCCGATCTACACCATTGCTCTCATTTTTTGCTCTCGGGTCAACAAGGGTGGGGGCATGACCCCCTTAGCCCCCACCCCACCCCTGGCTACATCCATAGTTGAAAATAAACTCTTTTCACAATCCTTTGATTTCATGTAGTTTAATTGTCATGATGATTAAAAATGTCTAGTTACTTCAATGGTTCAGTAAGGATTATTTTTACTGTTAATAGTATATTCCCATAGTCTCTGCACAACAACAACATCCTAATCATCAACCCCATCATCATTTCTGCCATTGTCATTATCTCTGCTTCGGAGCACAGCAACTGGCAATCCCGGCTGGCAATAATGTGCAGTTAGCGGTTTGGATTCACCTATTTCCTGTTGCTAGACAGGTGAGGCACAAGCAGCACGGATTGACGCTGAAGACATCAAGTGAAAGTGGAGACAAACTATGCAGTGTGGTTTTGCTACTGATCTGGAATCTTTTTCATTGAGATTTAGGGGTTTTCAAAATTCTGCACAGATTGTCGACGGTAACAATCCATCTTGCAAGAGAGAGAAAGAGAGCGACCAAGACATTTTTCTCCCAGTTATTTATTCCCAATATACATGTACTTTTACTTATGGCTTCATTTCCTATTGACTTTATTCTTTCTCATTGGTCATGATATTGTCATCCCAAATATTATACAAATGATGAATGGTTATGAGTTCAATAGTGCGAATATTTTCATGAGTTGAAAGATTAACATTCTATTCAACGAGGCGTCAGCCGAGTTGAATAGAATGAACGTTAATCTTTCAACGAATGAAATTATTCGCACTATTGAACGAATGAAAAACTTTCATTATTTGTTTTATACAACATCGAAGAAGATCCAATAGAACCCTAATCAACAAATTATGCTTTACTCCTTATATTAAAGATAAATTAAAGATGGAGCCAAACCTTCTCGATTACATTCAGATTGCCTTCGCGTCATCGCAGGGATACACGCACGACAGAGAGGTACCTGCATATAACCAAAAATGCACGGCGCATATAACCAAAAATGCACGGTCGTGCAATATAACATCTATTGAATATCATGTGACCAACAGTCCTCCAATCAAATGACAAGGATCCACATAGGTGTTGTATAAAACATATTATTGTCTTTATGAGGCTTCCAAGTGGAACAATAAATCAGTGTGTATTTAATATCTTTAGTGCAGTACCCGGATGACTGATCAATATTGTTTTCATATTGCTCAGTCATCCGGGAACTCAAACTATATAGATATCACACGAAAACAAATCCATATTTACCAAGGTCGGTCAAATTTTTTTTTTTTTGCTAGTCAGCCTGATATAGATAATAATAGTATTACATGGCTTTGATTTTGTGTGATACAAGAATATATTGCTCTCGCTATGACAACAATGAGCTCGTCTCCGACTCGTTCAATTTTTGTCATAGCTCGAGCAATATATTCTTGTATCACATTCAAAGCCATCCAATATGATATAAATATTTGTGATCATGGTGGAATAATATTTATCTTATATCCTTTCTTCATCTTGCATCTTCACTTTCTTGTCTCAAATACTATATAAAGGGGTAGTCCTTTCTGATATTAAGTTGGTATCAATAGACACAGAAAAATAAAAGAAACGGGTCAGTAAAAACTTCAAAAATTCATATTTTCCCAAAATAAATTCAATCATACATTCACCCTAAATATAATTATTGCAAATATATTTGAAATAACCCCTGTATGACACAAATTTATTTTGTCATCGATAACTGAGAAAAGTGTCTGTACAGAGCAAATTGGAGAGGAGCTACACTGTAGCAAGATACATTACAAAGTTGTCAATTTGTGTTTTATTGATCGCAACTTCAAAAAGTCATAGCTTTCTTATTTTTAATCATATTTTGCTCAAACTTTCACTAATTTGTCTGCTATTATCAAAATCAACTTAATATCAGAGTGGACATGCCCTTTAATCATAGTAATCACAATCATTCATCCGAAACATCATCACATCATATGGTCATAATTAACATAATTCACCACACTTTTTGAACACAAGTATTAAATAAACTTTACCACATGCTTTTTCTTTTTGACATAGTGAACTGACATTTTTTAATTGATATTCAAAATTGTATACATGAGAATTGATACTTCTGTTTTAAATAAAAATGCATACAAACATATTTCCATAATATTAATTACAATAATGATTATGATATAGAACCTGATGAGAACTGGAAACCACCAATTAATCAACACATTTAACTCCAAATTGAATGTATGCAATAATAATAATATAATAATCTAATAATAATAATAATAATTATATAAAAATAATAACAATGGCTTCTGATATAGCGCTCATATCGTCACATTATCATACTTGTGGTGCTTCAACATTTTTTTTTTTTACCCCAGTTAACTGTATAGCTGAGCCGCCAAAGTAACTAGTGCTCAAGCATATCAGGTACCCATTTACATGTACATCTGGGTAAAGTAAGGCAAATGTAGATTAATGCCTTGCCAAAGGAAAACAAGTGCTGAGGTGGGATTTGATCCCTGTATCTCTACAATGATTTAGATAGATCTGCACTATCCACTTTTTATTAGGGGGCTTGACAGCTGGATGACTTCTGTTACAGAAATCAAAGCTACAAATGTACATTACAGTACATTAGCCCACAAAAAAAAATGGAGTAGACTAAATAATGGGGAGTACCATGAGTGTATGACTCACTCTCCTCACAATGGAAACATACAATATTCCAAGTAAAGGGAATGAATTTAAAAACAGATCCATACATGATAAACCAAATCAACAGTGAGCTTCATACATAATTGTAGGCAAGTATGAGAAAAGAACAACAGGGTTATTATTATACATATAATGTATGTAATTCCTTCCTGCCAACAGGCCAGTTTTGTAATGTAACCAAATATAACACATATACATGTACCTGTACATCTTTGTGAAGTACAAATATTTCATTCACCGGTTTGACAAATAATTTTATCTTAATAGTCATGATGAGAATTGCATACATCAGCTGTTGCTATGTAGGACAAACATAATGCCTTACCTTACCTAACAACACATAATATATGCAATTTGCATTTTGACCAGCAAAATACAATTCTTCGTAACAGATAAATGAAATCATCCATATCAAGGTACTTCACAAAGATGTGTGGATAATAGTTGGTTACATTACACAAAAATGGCCTATTTGACACAATTCATCTTAGTTGACACATACAAGACACATGACTGCTCTGAAAGCAATAAAACCACATATCCATTTGATGGATGAAGTGCCCTTTTCACTTGACATTATTCTTTCTTTTCCTGTGATCACAAAATGCAGCAGTTGTTACACACAAATGAGGTACAAGAATTTGATGCATGAAAATAAAAAGATATATTAAAAACCACTGATAAAACAGTACACAGTATAAAATCTTATAAAAGTTATAACTTATAAAAGTGGTCACTAAGTATTTCATGTTGATATAACTGCTAACATCCCCTATATAGGGGGTCTATTGGTGAGCATTAATGCCTTTCTTGCGCTAAGACATGTGGATATATATACCAGGCAGATGATCGTATACAAGGTCTGGAAAAAGGATGGCAATACATCAGAAAAACAATTTATTTAGAGTTAGATAATGTAAATTGTGATATATTTGAAACTCCAAATTATACATTTCCAAGAAGTAAATAGAAAATAGAGAATTGATGCATACACATATTCATGATAAGATAGACATTAGAATCATTACCTCCTTGTAAGAAGCATCACAATGTCTTGATAGAATAGACAAATTGATAAGTAAACAACCATACACATAGTACACAGGCGTAGAGGCTTGATATCATTTTCCTTCACACTTATTGTTCATAGAATTTGTTCACTTTAACAGAAAAACAACAATATTCTTCTGTCAAGAAAGCACAATATTCCAGTTTCTACATTTTCATCCTTTCTTCAACCATTTTGTCCTTTTCAGAGGTCAAACATAAAAATGTGCTCTAAATATATAGAGATAAAGTTTCACCTACTATCATTCTCATTATTAAACTAATAGATAAATGTATTTGTGACAACATAAATGAAGTATAAGATTTTAGTCAAAATATTTGACAATAATATAATATTTGGAACTAAAACAATAAAAAGTTAATATGTATTAAATACTGACATTTCTTTACCATGAGCCAGGCGATGGATTATTGACAAAATATCAGCATCTTGTGACTTGGGAGCATCATTTTCAAAAGCAAAAGGACAAAATCACAATTAACTAATTGCCTTCCTCCTCCAAATGGAATGCACTGGTTGACAAAATGTGACATTTTCTCAAAATCTTTAATACCTATTTCAATCTCACAAAACTTGATATAATTGACACTTTCTTGGTAATTCTTCCCAACTGAAGTCTTTTTGTGACTTGAAGCATATCTAGCAGAGCTGCATTTCTAATTGGCATCAGTACAGGCTGCGTTTTGTGATGGACTTTATCTTCGCTTGTGTATTTTCCATTTAATAAGCTTGTCTTGGCACTGACAAATACACAAACAAGTTTCATTATATATACAAGACCAGTAGTAGCCAAATGATGTGATGTAACATCAAATTCAAGCCACTGTGCACGAGCATGGACCCAATATGAGGCTGTGAGCTTTGTTTCTGAATATTCAGAAAGATAATTCAAGAAAAAAAACCAAGCATGAGATAGCAGATACCCTAGTATTATATTACAATATTGCATGGAGATCATAGTTTTATGACATATATTCAGCTTTGTATTCAGAATTTCCCTTGCAATGATATGTCAACTTAGCTAGATCCATGGCTGATACGATTCCCGGCGGGGACAGTTTCCGAAGCCGTATTTTCACAAAAATGTCTTACTTCATTCTACCGGGTATTAGCTCCAGTTATTTGACCTATCATGAATAATCAAGCCCTAATCCACAAAGGGTTTATGAAATACAGCCCTGAAAATCCTTCAGTATATCTAGGACCTCTTGTGTCTCAAAGCAGCGCTTTTTAATACGTGATAAATAGACACAAGAGTTTGCAAAAAGGCTAGTGATCAACGCTTCGTTATTGCATGGGCCATACAAATCATGTTTGTTGTGATTTCTGCGATATGGTCATGTTTTCACAGATTTACATGTACCAGGATTAGCCTTATCTTGAGGACCATCTTTGAAAAAAAATGTGTTTATTTGCATTCAATTTACCTGAGCTTTCATGAATATGTGGGTATTTAAGCCAACTGACCTGAAGGCCTGATGGAACCAAGCACGTCCACAAAAGGGAATGCAGTAAGGAGTATTAAATGAATTTTAAAGCCAGGCGAATTATTTGTATCATCCAAATGATTTCTCACATTATGTAAATTTTCCCCACAAGAGATGATGAAGCTAAAGTATTAGAACAAATTTCTCACATATCAAAAACAATTAATTCCAATACATGAATCGGCCATGGATCTACCTATGCAGCTTGTTATTGTTCAATCTCCCCTGCCCCTAATAGAAAGGGAATAAATTAACTGCTAAGAGTTTGGAAAGGCTGTCTGTTGTTCATTGTATCTGCTGTAGCCGAATACAACTCAACCTGTCTCCCTGGTCTAGTGGCATCCATGACCATATACCCAGGTTTGATTCCCGGCGGGGACAGATTTTGCAACCTTTTGCAGTTATTTCCACAAAAAAAGGAAGGCAGTAAGATAGAAGAACTAATAAATACAAAGCTACACAAATTATTTCTCTCATCCAATTGATTTCTTACATTATATATTATCAGATGATGGTATGTTCTGTTACTATGAAGATCCAATATTGTATTCCAACTAATGAAATTCGTTACCTTGCAATTCAATCATTCACATGACTCAATTTAATATCCTAAAAATCTCTCAATTTGGTCGGCAAAATAAATTATACAATCCTCCTAGGGTTGTCGGATTTACATTTCTCCTTAAACTCTTCCTCCCCAGTACACCAAACATTTCAAATATTCATATATTCAAATATATATATATATATCTTTACATATATAGTACTTTCTATTTTGTTTCTTTTAATTTTTCTATATATTACAAAATGAAATTTACAAAGATGAATTAACTAAGCTATCTAGAACTTACACTAGGTTATAACAATGCTCATCTTGCTGACATTGAACACTTCTACTGGAATTATAAGTGAAAATATTTTTTTTATTTTTCATTTTAATCTACTTATCTCCAATCTTCAATCTCAATTTTAAGTTGACCCTGACAATGTTCTAAAATAGCCTTTGAATTGCTTAATGCCAATGGTTTTAAAGTGGAGCATTTCTCATAACCAAACAACCACACAGTTATTAACCACATTGTGTAGATATTGTTATTGACTCTGGGTGCATCAGATCATGTATCTGTTCTTCAAAAAGAAGGGGGTATTAAATGACTTGGTCACTTTCAAAGGTTCCTTTATAACTATCATTTTTGTTTTCCTCTATATTCTTAATGAGTTTTCAACTTACAGATAAAGTAATGTGGAAATAAGGCCCTCAAAAATACTTCTATTATAAATAATCATTTGAATAAGAACTTTCATAGTAAGTCTAAAATAATATAATCTCTGTTTAAACCTTCTCTCTCCCCGTTCAAGGCCATACTAAACCGACAAACTTTCTGCCCTTGCGTACTGTTTATTGCACAGCGCCATCTCATGGTTAACTTGCCAACAGTGCATAACCCAACAGCACAGCTACGGAAGCAGCAAGTTACTGGTCCCATACTGCTACAGCTGACCTGAGATGGGGCTAGAGGGCATTTTGTGGTATGGCTTTAATATGACAAGTACACATATTATACCCTTATAACCTTTGACCTTTCTGATACTTCATACCTCCATCAAGCAAAGTTACTTTCATTTCAAAGAAAATACAATATTCCACACTGGATAAAAACCTTAAATCTGAGTGCTTTTTAACGAAACCTAGAAGAAATTGATATGAATTTTATCTATCCAGTATTCTTTTTTTAATGGAGTTGCCCATTCATGAATCTAATTCACCCACATGGTGACAAATAGGTCTCCACTTGTAAAACTGGATACAGAAAGCCACTCTCTTTCAAGTTTTCTTAGGCGCTTTCACACCTTACAACCAAGATGCCACAAGATTTTGAAAGAAATTGAAACATGATTACATATCTGGACTTTCAACAATGTAATTTGTTCCTGAATAGGGTCTTGTAGTATGAATAGTATTAGAAAAATTGCTGGGTGCTGTGAGGCTGTGAGCATCCCAATCAGAGAAAAGCATTGGTTGGCTAAAGATCATAGTTATTAGTTATGTAACAATTCACAAAACTGGCCACCAAATTTACCAACTGATTGTAAATTTGGCCTTTTCTCTAATTTGAAGGTTTAGACCACTGCACAATTCAAACATTGGATCTACATGAATATGACTATTTGGGTCAAAGGTCAGATAATAATATAAAAATAATAATAATATAACACATTTATTTTGCGCCATCTATCTGGTAAAACTATTTTGAGGCGCATCATGAATTGAGAAACAAGAAAGAAAAAAAATAGACTACAGGATAATACAAATTGTGTTGTATTACATTCAGGTCCTGTATGCTTTTGGAAAAAAGAGGACTGTCTTCGGGTTCAACTTTAAAGGAATCAAAAGTTTCTGAGGAATGTATATGAGCTGGTAATTGGTTCCATAAAAATGGTGCAATAGGTGAGAATGCTCTCTCTCTACTCTCCAAGAGATGACTTTGTTCTCTGGGAGACAATGAGTTGGAACAGATTGAGATAATGAGATTTTCAATAAAATGAGGGAGCAAAACCTTGCATTGATTACCATGTTAAGAGCAAAATTTTGTATTCAATACAATTTACATTCGTGAAATTCCCTATGCAATCTTAGTCCAATTTCTTTGCCTGGTCATAAGGATGGAAATTCTAATTATGTACATGAGAGGCATGTTTCCTTGGTTGTCACTCACTTAGTCTGTTTTGCACTGTTATGCAACACTTACATGTACTCAAACAGAAACAGAGGGAGCAAACCATTATGCAAGCACTCAACACACAATACCTCACAATTAGTTCACAATTCAACATTTCTATCACTACATGTATCATCATAAATAATTTTGCACATAAGCCTTCATCTGAATTTGCCCCTCTTTTAATGTTAGTGGTTTGTATCTTTTTGTGTTTTTTTTCTTCATACATATACTTTCACTGATGTTAGAAACTTAAGGTACAGCACTTTCATAGAGTTAAATTTACTATTGATTAATGCATTTGAATATATATATATATATATATATATCTCCATATACCATATTACACCCTCAAGCTACATTATACAAAAACATAAATGTAGCTGTCATTAGTGATAGGTATACCTGACCAGATTACTCCACTTCTACCATCAGCTGAATTTTCACTTTATTTTTTTTCAAATCATATCAAATCAAAACTCCTCATTGACAAATTAAACAATAACAATGTGACCATCTTTTTTAAAATAGACAGTCACTTTTAAAAAATTGATTTCATTATGTAATGGTATATCTTTAAGCTTGTCATTAAAAAAGATGAAATAGAGATATAAGACAAAGGTTTTTTTTCTGTTCAGAATTGTACATGTTTTTCTTTGGTGTCAATGAAGCAAATGAATTGAAGTGTCAAACAGTGATTCTGTACCTAATGTATGACAAAGTTGTTTTGTTTCTAAATTGTGTAATTGCCAACCTATCAGTTTTCTTTGCATTTTCTCATCTAAAATTCTTCCACAAAAAGAGAAATCTCTTCAGCAACGATACTTTACAAACATCTATGCATTTTAAGAGTTGCACACATTGGAAATTTTCAAACATAAAAAAATATGACACTTAAAATCGCAACCAGCTCTTTTCTTGTTATCATTATATATATGTATGTACTATGACTAATAGTAATTCTACTACACATCCTATCCTACATTAGACTACTACAGTCCTACTACAGACATTGTTTCTATATCTATCAATCACCATCTAGACATCTAATCACATTGCTTTGTTCACTACAGGTACATCAATCAAGTGGTACAATTCCATTTTCAGGCAACATCCCAACTGTGTGGGTCAAATCTCCTTTCAACATTGTTTTTTTTTTAAACTTCCAATATTCCCACTGTATTTCCCCTTTCCACATACATCGATCTATGGTCACATTGAGCTCAATACTCTTTCAGTTTTCAGCGGTCTTTCTACCGTTGTGCATTGCATCTCATGCAATGCGAATGGCTAACTTCAAATCATCAGGTCATCAGGTCGGGTCGGGTGGTCGTGTTACCTGACCTCTTGTAAAAACATGCCCCTTTATTCACGAAAGGTCAGGGGTTAGGTTTGCGCAATAAAACCCTCTCATCTAAAAACGATCTGGTTCAATTTACCTGACACTTTGTGAAAAACTTGCAGCAAATCTATGAAACTGAAAGGTCGCGTCTTTAACATGCGTCTGCACAATATCTTCAGTTTTGTGTTTCACGAAAGATCATGTAATGCAATGACACAATGATTCAAAGTAAGCCACACGTATAGTGAACTACTTGAAATTATGTTTAGCTCAAAGCTGGTTATGTATAGACAGCTACCAAACAGGGGCTAACACTCTCCAGTTCATCAGTCATCTGATATTCTCTGCCAATACCACAACTTGTGGAATAGTGTCTTAGGAAAACACATTGGTACCTCCTAACAACAGTCACTACACCTAGGTTGTAATACAAGCACGATATTTACCTACTGTCCATATCATTCAAATGCAGTTTTGTGTTTCACGCAATGTGGCAACATCAGCTCACATGAAGTTTGATCTTTTGCACAAAATTTCTTCGGGCGAACGTGGTGTGCAGAGCGAGTTGTGCTATTTGGCATGAATGCTGTTTGATTCTAGACCACAAGACGAATAAACCCCAACCAAAGCAGGGAACGTGACATCAGAGGTGGCGTTTCATGTGTAGAGCAAGGTGATCTGATCGAGAGAAGCATCGCTCACAGTGACTACATTTGAAAGGCTTGGCCCCTGTGTGCTTGCGGTAGTGACGTGTGAGTTCATCAGACCTAGCAAACCTCCATTCACACCCTTCCCAAGTACACTTGTATGGCTTTTCACCTGTGAAGGAAGAAGACAGAGAAAAAATAAGATTAATCATTTAACAATTAAATAATGTAAAGATGTACAGAATTAACATGATTTCCACGGATGGATCCAGGATCTGCTCCTCTGATTTTTCTTTCTTTTAGAGTAGTGGCCATAGTTTTTTAAATCTACTTTGACAAATAATTGATGCACTGACTGACAGGGGGGGGGGGGATGCAACCATTAATGTCCATAGTGTATACTTCCTTGATGAAGGGGCAAGGCTGGCAGCAGGCTGGCTGGCTGAGTGTACAGCGTGACTCATATGTTACATACCAGGCATTTCTCACATTCCAGTGCTTTCATACACCATTTGTGGTGCACTTGAGAGGCCTATAACTTAGCTTAATTACAAATTATTACTGACTTCATCACATACATATATTTCTTCCAAGAAATGGTTAACTTGCCCTCTTCACCACTACCTCCTCGTGTTTGAAAGGTTAAATGCAGACCTCTACTTGTTTATCTGGAAGTGCATTTTCTCTGAGGGGTCAGACTCAGAGTTTATACTTCCAGAAATGAAATAGGGTTTACTATTCTGAAAATGAATTGGGGTGCATTATTCTGAGGATTGGGGGGGGGGGGGTGATAATTTTCGAGGGGGTATTTGTCCCAATACCATGTACACTGTAAATCATAATGCACCTTCCATTAAAAAAGGTGCTGGAAGTGGGATGGGCAGATCCCCCCCCCCCCCCTCTCATACATTGTAAGTTCAAGTGGGGAAGGTGGGAAATCAACTTTTGGCTCCTTTCCCCTTTGCTGCAAAAAACTACATGTAGCTTTTTTGCATCACAATGACATATAGCAGTAATAAGCTTTATAGTGCTCTAAATAGTATTTTTACGAACGAAATATCAATCTAAAATGTTTCAGTCATCATGTCACCAAAAATTTTGAGTTAGAATGACTTCAATGGAAAAGTTTGTTCTGACATTCATGTGCTTATTGTGCATTGATGTTATGCAACATGCTTTCTTTGTAACATAATAATCAGTCATAATTTTGCAGTTGTAATATGAATCTTTGTGAAATTCAGAACGAATCTACTACAGCATTGCCGAGCACCGACAGCATTTCATCAAGGATGGTTGAGTATTTTAAAGAAGTTGCCAATCAAATTATACACCCCATATCGTCCTTGTTTTCACGAAGTGACGGTAGTGAGGAAAATCGTAACGCAAAGTGAATGCAATTTTTTTCACTACCGTCAGTTCGTGAAAACAGCGACGATATGCTTGAGCACACAGTACACATTGAAGATGAAAGGCATTGCCACGTTTGTTATTTCAAATCATATGATTTCAATGGTACAAGTAAGAGTATTTCCCAGGTTTATCCCAGGTATTTCACAGGGCATTTCCAGTATTTCCTGCCCGGGCCGGAAATATAGGTACATGTCTTTTCCCATGCAATTGCCAACCCTACAATTAAATATTTTATATCAATTTACTAACCAAAATGCACACAAATTTAAGACTAGAACAAATGAAATCATACATCTTTAATTCAAGGAAACCTCCATTGATCAGACAAACAGGAAAACTGTCAGGGTGGACTTCCTCTTAAATCACTTTTCTCCATTCCTTTGTGACAATTAATACAGAATAGATTATAATATTGATTTGGCAATAAAAAACATACAAAGCTCTGCTAACCAGGGAGCCAGTAAAATGAGCAACCATAAAGCAGAAGTCAATCTATGTCTACTTCTGTCTATTTTGTGGATTTCTCTCAATAAATTGGTGCAACTGAGACAAATCAACCTTCAAGTCAGCATTCATGCAATGACTCACCCTAGAATTTGGTCTGTATATATTTATTTCTTCCCCTTTCTCTGTTTGTGTGTGTGTGTGTCTCTCTCTCTTTCCTATCTCTTGATTAGTTAAAACTGTACCAGTAGGAAATTTTTGATTTGCACCTTCACTACTGGACTGCTACGTATGCGCTCATTTTTGAAGCACGGTTGACGAGGCACGCTGACTGTTGTTCGTTACCTTTTCTATCTTACATGAAGATGGTGCTCGCTCATTGACGTCATATAAATGTATGTACATACAGTATGTTCCGCTCCCCCACGAAAGATCCAACACCAAATTTGGTGCATGGGACTGTACTCGATAATAATGCTGCAACAGATGGGCGATGCATAAATAGAATGTGTTCATTTTATGGTATATTCTGCAATAATTTAAATTTTACGGAAATTACAAACAAGAGAATGTGTTAATTTTAGAGAGCTTACACTTCTAGCACTCTCCGCGCGCAGAATTAGGTCAATTGGGTCCATCGTGCTTCAATGTGCTGTTTCGTATCTGCAAAATATTGCTTACGAACAGTACCGTCACAGATTGAGAACGACAGCAAAACAAGGATGAATGCGTTCGAGAATTCTACAAACGATGAGCTCTGCGATGCGCATGCACACTGCTTAAAAAATTACCGAATACGTTGCAGTCCGCTAGTGAACATGCAAATCAAAAAGTCTGTTACCAGAAGTGCCTTACATGTATCTTCGACCTGTAATTTCATATGGTGCACAAATTTGAAAATGCTCAAGTGCCATATCTTAACACTGCCCTTAGTCATTTTGGACTTCCCTTTTGACCACTAGAGACGTGCAAACCTGCATTCAGACAACCGGAATTCATTGTATAACTGAACAAGAATTTTCTTAGTCTGAACAAAATATAAAGAAATGTAGTATAGCAAAACGGCTCTTTGAGCATCGTTTCGAACTTCATATCATACAAAAATAGTATAACTGGGCAGGGCTTATCAAAATAAATTTCTTTATAATGTGAGGTGTTTTAAGACAATGTTGTTTTCTAGTCTGTATCATCTTTCACTATAAGATGATATAGTTTCCTAAGTATACTGAGTAGTCTGAACAGTCTGTGAAACTAATGCAGTTGCCACAGTTTTATGCCCAAAGTAACGTTACTCAACCCTAGGGTAACTGGAAGTGGTAAGCAATTTCGGGTTTAAAGGTTATTGAATCTAGAGCAGGTTGAACCACTTGTTATTTACAGTGGCCTCAAAATCACTTCCAAGAGCACCGCAACAATAAGGTGCCCTACCTTTTTGCCCTTCTATAGTATACTGGATGGGGTTTACTGAAATTCAATGCCACCTCTAAATCGTCCCAAACCCTACAATAGGGAATACAAAAAACATAAATTTGTTTTTATCCATGTGCTTCTGACTGTTAAAGGGAAATCCAACCCAAATAGACAACTACTCTAAAAGAAAGCAGAAAAATCGGAGAAGCAAACTGATGGAAGTTTCAAATATAAGAAAGTTATGAATTTTTGAAATTTGTAATCACTATACATATGGGCACTTCAAATTGGCTGAAGCGGTAATGTCAATGTGATGTTGTGCCGGACTACTTTCCCATCTGTTCGAACATACAGGTATAAAATGACTAAAATTTGAACTGTTTTCAAAAATGTATTGCTCAGGATGGTCTATTCTGTTTAGAGGACCTATAATAATAAGCTATCTATAATATAATTTGAGTAGTGCCCCAAGGGAGAAGGAATTTAAGAGACAAACAGAAATGAATATTTGTGTACACGGCAAATGGGAGAGTTATCCAAGTCCTATGTCACAATCCACTGACCAAATTTCCAATTTGAGATTTGCATTGACTTTAATAGTGATCTCATATTTCAAACATTCATAACTTTTACTATTGGTCCGGTTCATTTCAAACTTTTGCCATTCTGTTTCTGTTAATTTTTTGCTTTCATACAAATCAACTTTATTACAAGGGTTGGATTGCCCTTTAAGTATGTACTTAAATCAAAGGCTTTTCTTATTCTCCATTAGTTTCATTATTTTCCAATAATAAAGTTCAATAGAGTGTAATATAGAGCAATATTATGTTTTTTTACATTCTCACTTTGGCTCGATGTACATTGTAGGCATGTCACTAGTATTGTGACCAGGCATTACTGATTTCCTCATCAATAACAAATTATGAAAACAGTGGTATGAATAAATGAAGATATGTATATGAATTACAGAAGTCCTAAATACTAAAACGCCCCAAAGGAATTTCAATAATCTTTTTTTCCGCAAAGTGATATCAAAGTGCGTTCTATCAAAACCCCTTTTGTTACATGCAAATTGCATTAGACATTACCTATATTTCCCCATTGTTAAAATGAATAGCGATATACATGTACTGTATGACGTTAAATCACATTATCACAATATATCAAATCACATTATATTCCTATCTATTGACAGATACATCGAGTAGGAATAGAACATCTAGTAAGAACTACGCTACAAATATAAAACGTGCACCCTGCAGATACAGTACCGTATCAGATAGATTGCCTTGACCTTTATAAGGTTTTTTTGTGTTGCAAAGGAGCAATAATACATCCTCGCTTTCTTCCACTTACTCTCCTACCAGTCTAATGAATATTAACCTAAGAGTGGCTGATGATACATCTCTCTGCCTCAATGCCTCCACGGGACTGTTACCATGCCAACTGAATCATTATACCAACCATGGCACATTTGTCAAGCAGGTGACTCATGGTGTATCAGCCAAATGTGCGTAGGGTCTTGATTTAAATTTGTCTAACTAGAGAGACAACTGTAGCTACATTTGCTGGTTTTGCAGTTAAAGGTTCACAATACTTGGCTGTGATTTCTAATAGCACAATTTTATCCTGGAATTAATTAAGATCCTGGTAACAAGGTAAACTCCTGTTTGTATTTAGATTGTCCAACCTATTCCATCCTTTCAATCTATCAAAATATTTTATTCTACATTTCAATCAAGGGCTATTACTTTCTCCTGGCTGAATTACTGCATCAAAATTAAAAAGATGATTTCCCAACATGCATATATTATCAGAAATGAGCCTAATGGGTTGTGTGCTGCCACACTGTACATGTACATGTACATATATGCAATGCCTTCAAAGCTGAAAGTGTACCAATCACCTACAAATAAGTTGTGTATATATAGGGATGCATTCATGGAGCATGAAGCATGATTCAAAAGGCCAATTTGAAACACGGTTTGTATGAGACAGCTTTCATTCATATTCTTTTCAATACCGATTCTATTAAATTCCAGAATTTGCCCTTGAGCAGTGTATTGCACAGTGTGACCAAAGAGAAACCAGTATATCTTTGGTGGGACCTAGGACATTTTTTAGGTCAACTTCGACATGCACTTTCCACTATGGTTCAGTATTTCTTTATTTTTCTTCTTTCGTTTCCTTTTTAAAACTAAATTGCTCATGATAAGGGAGCTAGTGGGGTGGGAGTAGTCCCCCCTACTTAAATAATAAACATGCTGGAACTCCAAAGTGTACCACAATTAAATAACTGAATCTGTTCATGAACACCAATTATTATATCACATCTAATGTACACTGTAAATTTTCCTCATGAAGTAAATAAAATCAATTTTGATTTATTTTTGTTGTTGCATGTCTTCAGTATCATTTAAGAACACATAATTTGTGTACAAAGACATTTGAACGCCTCACTGCCATTGTCTGAAGACTTGGTAAGCAACCAAGGGAGTTCCGTAACAAGCTTGTCACCTTCCCTATTAATCTTGTACAGATCAGCAGCCTGTAACGAGGTAGGAACTTAGGAAGGAAGCTGTATTCCAGGTTCCTTCCTCAGAACCCCACTAAATCCAGGAGTACCAAGTTACTTGAGGTACGCTATCTCTCTCTCTCTCTCTCTCTCTCTCCACCTGGGACTCTCTTTCAAACGGAAGCTCTGTGTCATAAGAGCACATGGCCTGATGCACATTCTGTTTCGTATGCTGAACATTGGCATTTCATGTGATTTTCAATATTATAAAACCATAACATAGTGGCCGCCCTCATTTTTTAAAAAAGAGAAGTTTTTTTAAAGTGAGTAATATAAACTCTACAAAGAATGCATAGTGTGTGACATGAAAGAGAAAGGAGGGAATAACAAAACAATTATGTACAGGAACATGATTGTAAGAGAAAAAAAGAGTGAAAGAGAGATAAAGAGAAAATTAATAGTAATGATGGATATACATGTAGTACTGATACTGATCATAATTATGATAATATCAGTAAAAATGATAATAATGACAATAATGATGATGACGATGACAATGATGATGATAATAATTGTAATAGTAATACTAATAATAATAATACTAATATCAATTAATGAAAATAATAACTGTAATAATGACAATGGGAGACTTATACATGACTACATCTGTACATCACAATCAACATATAAATACACATTATTCTAGTGGCCATAAGCATACCGATCAGTTTGTGAAAAGGGTTTAAAGGTAAAGACCAGTATTAAATGGAAATGCCCCAATTTCAAAAAAATGAAATAGAAGCTCTTTATTACCAATCATGTGAAAGAATATGTTTTGACTAATACATGATGATAAAATTTTGCCGGGAAACCGCCTACTAATTGATATACCGTAAATAACGTTGTATAAACCGCCCTCGTGTATTAACCGCACCCCTCTTTTTCGCCCTTAAAAAAAAAAAAAAAAAAAAAAAAAAAACTTTTTTTTTTTTTTTTTTTTTTGCCGAGATTTTTTTTTTTGTGTGTGTAAGATCATTACGGTACTGTAAATTAAAAAACAGTAGGGACCTAGGATAGAACCTTGTGGTACACCATGTAATAGAAGAAAAATTGGAGGAATTATTATTATAAACTAGTCTACATATAATCTATCAGAAAGATTACTTTCAAACCAAGATGACAGACAAATTTGAGTGTTGTTCTAGTTTCCGAGTGGTGAGTCAACACACCGATTACCGAGCTGGGAGACATTGCCAGGCATAGCGCCAGGTGGAGGGGCATAAATTGAAACTTTAAATTTTTTTTTTTTTTTTTTTTTTTTTTTTTGGTGTACCGTGTATAAACCGCACCCCCGACTTTGAAATTTTTTCGGCGGCAAAAAAGTGCGGTTTATACACCGTTATATACGGTATTTGGTAAATTAGTTTATCTATTGGATTGTGAGAGATAAACGCATGTGTCACGCACGTGTGCGTAGTCCCATATATCATCTTTCTGTGTACAGTGCTTGTAACTTTTCGAAGACTGGGCCAAATTTCTTATCATTTTGATGATTCCAAAACCTGGAAGTACACACCAATACTTAATAGATGATCAACCTTTTCTGATCGATTCCACAACATTTCTTTCACAATGCAATTGCATGACCATAACTGGTCTTTATCTTTAAGCCTGCCTCCTGCAGCCCGTAAACGAATTGAAATGGAAGTAGGGATATGAGTTAAAAATACATGATGCATCTCCCTACAATGTAAGATTTACAATTTTTCAATTTAGTAGGTTGTCATTTGGATTTTGTGGATGTACAGACTTACAGTCACTGTTATTCATGTCAGACATTATGTTGCTCAATATTCAAGCGCCACACCATAGAGCAGGGTCAGGGTAAATAAATGAATGATTTATTTACGATAGAGAGATAATGAGATGCCTATATGCATCCTACTGGTGATGTGACTCACCACATACCAGCTTGTGATTGGTGACTAATAGCATTGCTCATATATACACCATGAAGGCCTACTCCATATTGAAGTTAAAAGGCCAAGCTCATGGTATTTGGTTATCTCTTAAATCTTAAAGTATTGCCATAATGAAACTCCAAATGGTGCATCTACACTTACATTGTACATTGACAAGTCATACACCTTCCATTGTAGATCCAATTTTTTTTTTGCAACCAGAGTTTAATATAGACAACATTCTAAAGCAATAAATCTTTCCATCACATTACAACAACAAAAACATGTTCATTTAGTGGACAATCAATTTTATAATATATTCTTAAAAATAATCCTTTTCTACCATTGAAGGGAAATACAACAATGATAACAAACTACTCTAGAGGAAAGTAGAAAAATGAGAGTAGTATACCGTACTTGTGAAGAGTTGTGAAAATCTGACAAAAACATTAGAAATTTATGAATGTTTTAAATTTACAATCACTATATTCATTTACACATGTAGGTATGGTCTCTTCAAATTCGCTGAATCGGTTATCTGTGATGTAGTGGCAGACAACTTTCCAATTTGTTCCAACATTTAAAATGACAAAAATTTCCATTTTTGAAACATGTATCACTCAGGAGAGTCTCTTCTCTTTCTAAAAGAGGACCTGTATGATTATGCACCCATTTCATATTTTGAGTAGTGCCCCAAAGGAGAAGGAACTTTGAGGCAATAAAACAGAAATAAAATATATTTTTGTACACAAAAAATGGGAGTAACCTGGACTTTATCAAGTTAGGAAGAAAACTGAAGTAGATTTAAACACACTTCCTGACAATACTGGTGTAATATATGTCTCATACCTTGCAATGCGAGTTCCTTACTCTGTTCTAATGCAAGTGAATGCATTTAAGACATGAATTGAAGAATGTATTTTTCTAATCATTAACATGATATTTCACTGAATATATAGTAAACAATAAATGACGACAGGATTCCCCTTTTCAGCCTACCGGTACCTCCTTTATCAATTAATTTGACAATTAGTCTTTATTTGACATGAAATTAGGAAGAATCTGATTAAACCTAGACAGTACTTAGCTGCAATTACATGGCAAGCAATAACTGTCTGCTTTTCTCACATTCCAGACTCTTGTTGGAAGTTGCTAGGCAACTATCCATAAACACAATGAATAAACCCTAATAGAAAAAAAAACACCTCTTGGAGTGGGTTTTTGGAATGCCAACTGAAACTCCCACTGTTTTTTGCAGTGTAAATGCTCGTGACGTGACTCTCCTCACTTCCGTGCTAATGCGTACAGACTTCAGGGTAGTGATAAGTGACACATACACACAACAAACACCAAAAAATAGAATAGGCAAACATTGATGGTTTTTATAGGTTTTCCAGTGGTGTAATAAATGGTAGCTCAAAAAATTGATAATTTTTTCAAATTGTTTTTTCTGCAATGTAAATGGCCTATAAAAATAACAAAAAGTATTCAATAGTGAACCCCTGTATAGTGCATGGATAAATCAGATGTTATCAAGAAAATTTGTTTTGAAAAAACCTTGTACCAGAAAAGTATCCAATATGGAATAAGATGGAACCCCGTCCTTATTTCCAGAGATATATATGGCAAGAAAACTAGAGTCAAGTTTTAATTAGCCTGATTTTCAAAACGTTATAGTGACATAAATTGTTACCGTAATGAAATTTCATGAACAAAAACAAAAAAAGATTATATTCTTACCTGTGTGTGTCCTCTGATGTGCCTTCAAATGTGAACTTTTGGTGTAAACTTTCCTACAACCACTAAATTGACATCTGTGAACCCTTCGCTTGGGGTCTGGAGAATCTGATCGCTTGCTACTACTACCCCTAGAAGATGATACTGGATTTAAACTACGCATCCTAACTGAACCTCTGTCCATGAGTCCACCCATGCTTACTGCAACCAATTGTCCAACAGGCACACTCACTAAGCGGCTACGACCAAGTTCAGGTGATGATGGTGGCGTGAGGGTCGCTTCAGATATCATTCTCGCCGCCTTGTAATTTTCTGTTTTAAAAGGATCACATGTGATTGTAGTCATTGAGGGAGATGGTGAAAGCTCTCCCGAACTATCCCAAGAAACAATGCTAGAGCTGGAACTGAGGCTTATCGTATCAAACCTGCTGTCGCTGCACTCGCTGTCTGAAAAAGCAAGGAGATCAAACTCTCTGTCCATGATCACACGATCTTGGCAAGGTAAAATGAATTTATTCCACGGGTTTTCTGGCTCCTTCATTTGCTTGTCTCGGATCTGACAAGGCTCGGACTTCAGCAACCTCTCCATTTCTAGACAGTGCTGCAAATACAAAGAACAAAAAACAAACATGTAGTTTTCTTGTCATGAAAATTGATAATAAACTTCTTTTGCAATGAAATAAACAAATGCATAAATCAGGTTTCACATAAACAAGTTCATCAAAATTCCCCGCTTGGAAATATTCAAAGTAATGATTATTATCAATGTTCACACTTGAAAAGATCCCAGACTCTGAACACTGCCCAGATTTATGATGTCACTCAAGCCAGGGACCACATTAGCATAAGCAGACGATGTCTCATAACAATGCACACATTTTCAGTGCCTGTTTCATTATCTCATCTTTACTTATTTCTCTTCCTTCACCAGTGTATCATTGTAACTGTTTGATCTATTGCCTCACTCTAAATTTTAGACATGGTTTCATTTTGATGACGAAATGCAGGGTTACCTAAAGAAATCAGTTGTAGCTTCACTATGGCTTGTAAGAAAGATGCCATTGTACATTTAGCTACATACACCAATACATGTGCAGCGTTTCAATTGAGAATGAATACCATCCATGCTATTGTTTGGCAGGCTTTTCCAAATGTGGGCTAATATTTCAGTCATTTTTTTTTCAATCGATCATTCATCCTTGCCCTGAAGGTTTCTAAGCAAACAACTATCACCATCAGCATCACCTCCTTTGTAAAATGGTGTGAAACATCATTGTGAAAGAATTGCACTAAAAATATGTTCTTTAGTTATAGGATGTTGTCTGCTCATGCCGGATTGGTCCCTGATATGATGTTATCAAAGTAGTGCTAAATTTGCTGGCGAAACTCAATTAAATCCAGACTTAAAAGAGAAAAACAAAACAAATGTTTAACACCATACTCTCTTTTTATTAAAGGTATTACAAAGTTTTGGTATGGGGTCATGAATTTGGTTCAAATTAACATATTGGAAACATATGCGTTCCTACAATATTCATTGATCGTTGTCGCGGTTGAAATCGAGTCTAAAGTTATGAAATTATAAATAATAAACTCTTTATGTTGTATAGCTCCCTCTCAAGGTCAAGATATTAATTTAGCTATGAAACGATGTTTCTTGACTAAAATCAACCGATTAGCTATTCCCGTTTGGAAATGATATATCACAACTACATATTCTGAGACTTTCATGGTCGCAGGTACCATTGTACGGCCATAGGCGCTATTTGAAATTTATCAAAATTTACTGGGAGCACCGGTAAATGTTTATATTCAATTTTTCTCGAAAACAGAAGTGTTTTAGGGGCTAATTTTTTTAATGCTTCTAATACATCCACAGGGGCATCCAAATATATCAAAATTGTAAAGATTCACTATCCACCCAATTTTCAAAATTTCCCAAAACTTTGCATTACCTTTAACAATAATAGTGGGTTTTTATATAGCACTCATGTCTGTCATACGTGACACTCCTGGCGCTCCCGATTATTACCCTGGCTTAAGCACGGCTAACATACGACGCTCTAGCATTTCAAGAAATTAATTCCTGCCAGGTACCCATTTACATCACCTAGGTTGAGTGTTGCAAATGTAGATCAATGTCTTGCCAAAGGACATTAGTGCCGTGGCGGGACTCGAACCGCGGACTATGTGATTGACAGTCCGGTGACATATCCACTTGACCACGACACCTCTACATTGATCAATGCAAAACACTTTTTGAAAGTTATGTATGTTCAAAGTAGTCCTTCAATACTGTTTTAATCCAGTTAATAGTGTACATTCCTACAATACACAAAACATGATGTAACAAGTGTGACCAGGGCATTACACTGTGTGCATGCATGCTCAGTGACACTATTTGAATACCAAAGTGACTTATCCTCAACTTATCCATCCTTTACAATAAGCCCACTTATCACTTTATGCTCTGTGGCGCTCAGCATTTTACAAAATGACCTCCAACTAGTTGCAACAGAACTGGTTTCATATCATAGAAATGCACTTTATACAATACATGTACTGTACAAAGCTCTAAGAAATGCAAGTGTTGAAAAATACAAAAACTCAAGGCTAGTTATCAACAGAGCTAATCATACACATATAGTCAGGCAAATCCGGTTCAGTTGCATGCTAACCTAGCAACGTAGTTAAAAAAAATATTCAAAAAATTCAAATTGTTTTGTCTGCAATGTAAATGGCCTGATAACAATTTCATGGTTTGTTTATAATCAATAAGCTTAAGAAATTTATCAGCATAAACAAGCTCTCAGACTGTGTTTATTTTGTTAGCCATGATGTCATAAAGGATATCCATAAATCTAAAATGCTATTGTACTCTGAAAGTTACAAGCATTGTAAAACACTGTATTGTCTATAAATTTGACAATTCCTAGCTCAGGGACTCTCAGATAGTCACATTACTGTATAAGAAATTTAAAGCAAACTTTTATAAAGAATCATCATTTAGCCACAGAAGCATACATATGAGACAAAAGGTATCAAAATAAAAAATGAAGAAACTACAAGGTACTATGAAGAGGTCAGTTGTTAAGTGTTGGCCTGGATGACAGCTGGTCAATCATCAGTGAACTCACATTTCACAATAAGCTACGCCCAATCAAACAGTTTTCATAGACTCACATTACAAGTGGACCCTGATACTCTATGGAGTTTTTGCTTGACACAAGTCTCAGGCATGCATTTTGCTTTGTAACATTTATGATGTTCAGACTAGATATAAAGAGTATTATACAACACCTACGTGGATCCCTGTCATTTGATTGGAGGATTGTTGGTCACATGATATTCAATAGATGGTATATTGCACGGTCGTGCATTTTTGGTTATATGCGCCGTGCATTTTTGGTTATATGCAGACTGCGTACCTCTCTGCTGCATGTGCGCGTATCCCTGCGTGTATCTGACGCGAAGGCAATGTGCATGTAATCGAGAAGGCTTGACTCGAACTTTAATTTATCTTTATAAGGAGTAAAGCATAATTTGTTGATTAACGTTCTATTAGGTCTTCTTCGATGTTGTATAAAACAAATAATGAATGTTTTTCATTCGTTTAATAGTGCAAATATTTTCATTCGTTGAAAGATTAACGTTAATTCTATTCAACTCGGCTGACGCCTCGTTGAATAGAATGTTAATCTTTCAACACATGAACATATTCGCACTATTGAACTCATAACCATTCATTATTTGTATATTATACAACACCTACGTGAATCCTTGTCATTTGATTGGACGATTGTTGGTCACATGATATTCAATAGATGGTATATTGCACGGTCGTGCATTTTTGGTTATATGCGCCGTGCATTTTTGGTTATATGCAGACTGCGTACCTCTCTGCTGCATGTGCGCGTATCCCTGCGTGTATCTGACGCGAAGGCAATCTGCATGTAATCGAGAAGGCTTGACTCGAACTTTAATTTATCTTTATAAGGAGTAAAGCATAATTTGCTGATTAACGTTCTATTAGGTCTTCTTTGATGTTGTATAAAACAAATAATGAATGTTTTTCATTCGTTTAATAGTGCAAATATTTTCATTCGTTGAAAGATTAACGTTAATTCTATTCAACTCGGCTGACGCCTCGTTGAATAGAATGTTAATCTTTCAACTCATGAACATATTCGCACTATTGAACTCATAACCATTCATTATTTGTATAATATACCAATCATAGATCTTCATGTATGAATCTCATATACCGGTACATGACTCTTGTACATGTAAGTGTGAATAGGGTTAAAATGTCATGTAAAGTACTTTGGTAGTGGGCGACTATACTTGTCAAATGCCCAAGAATGGAAAGGAAGATGAAAAGAAACCAAATCAACCCCCGTGTTCCTGTACATTCCAGGCATTCTAGCTTTTGTCAATGCACACACATTTGTTTTGAAATAAGCACAGAAGAAGAACACTCCTGTATTCTGAATTTGAATTCACCAGAGCATTAAAGCAAAACCATTTTTCTATTCAAATACTAGTCATATTGATGTACTTTTCATAGTGCATCACAGGTCAATTATCCTAGATACTGTAGGGGGGGGGGGGGGAGACTTCATAACTAGAAAGAAATTGTAAACAACCATTCGAATACCAGGGATAAGTATGTCTACTCTATTCCTACCACACACAAATATGTATATACAAATAGCATAGGAAGTATTGTGAACAGGATGTGTGCGGACCAACATACCTGAATGATGATGACATGGGCTTGGTTCAAGACTGGCGAAAAACAATGGGAATTCATTGATTAAAAGCTACAACTTTGGGACACTTTGGTAGTTTTGTTGTTGTCAGGGAGATGTTACAGTTCACACCCTCTTCATGATGGAAAGTATTGTAATCAGGTGGGCTGTATCTAATACAGACCACCTTATATTTTTGTTAAAATCGCCTTTATTTATTTATTTATTTATTTTTCTTATTTCGACCCACTTTTTGTTAGCAAGATAACTTAAAAAAAACTTAATCAAATAACTTGAAATTTGGCACACATATGTATAGGCATATGGAGAAAACACAGTAAGGTTTTCAACCTTGACCTTGACTGATGACGTCATCTAGACGCCATTTTGTGAAATTTTCTGAAAATAAACTCATGATCATATCTTCATAACCAAAAGGTATTTCTCATTCATATTTATTATGCTCAAGGTCAATATCAGTCCAGTCAATTTCAGGTCAAAAAACGCGCGCGTGCGCGTACGTCCGCGCGTCAATGCGCGCGCAAAATTTTTAAATGCTCAAAATCGTCTCAAATTTATTTTGCATACGTTTCAGGTCATTTTAAGCATTTTATAAAAAATCGCGCGTACGAGCATGCGCGCGCGTTTTCGCGCGTAACACCATTAAAAAACATAGAATCGCCATTTTTTTTTCTTTCATGATATTTCTCATATTTTTTCAAGGAATTTGATTCCATGTTTATCTCTTTATGACCATTATTAACAAGATGAGCGTAAATTCAAGATAAATGTCAGTGCGCGCGAGGTCTTTTAATACATAGCATATATGGGCAAAAACATGCCTATACAAAATCCGTTATAGCTCTTTGGAATGCACCAGGATCCTCAATTTTTTTTCATATTAAGATAGAGTATGAGTCGGAAATATGATTCCATGTCTCATTTGGCCATTAAGTGTATCGTGACATCATCACAATGGCCTTGGAACTCAAAATACGAATTTGCATATTATGACGTCAGCATATTTATGTAAAATTTATTGTATCTCTGTAAATATTGATCAATTTTCTTCAAAATTTCGATATGTTGTAGCTAAGACAATTCTCTACAAGCGCAGTAATAACCATTTTTCATTTTGATGACGTCATCATAGTGAAAATTTTGATTAAAGGCCTCATGTCAAAAACTTCATAATTTGCGTGTTATGCCTATAGAAGGTGAATTTAGTTCACGTTATGAATCTACATGATATTGTCTTTTAAGAATTTGTAAGCAGTATGTCGCTTATTTTTGCCCTATTTTGTCTCAAATGTTAGTTGACCAGCCCACCTATACTTGTTCCAAACAAGTATTATATGTCTAGTTTTTATATATTTTTGTAACCTAAAAGCTGAGACAAAGTTTGGTTGATTGTCTTTCATGGACAAAATTTATCC